TCTACCCATAACTTAGCTCTACCCTTTAATAAACTACCTACCTTCATTCGGATGTCATAATCATCAAGCTTATATTTGTCAATTGCTTTTGATATATGTTGACACCATTCTCGTATACCCACGGAGCCGTCAGGATCATAGGAGGGTAAAAATATATCGTTGATTTTTACCTTATTATATTGTTGCGACATCAATTTTTCCGACATCTGCTGCATGGTCTGCATCATTTGCACAAAAAATTCCGTCGTAATGTTAGTGGTGTTAGGCTCAGTACTTACGTGCTCCGCAGCATAACCAGTATTATCAGAATGTCCGGCAGAAGTGGGAGGGCATCCCACTTCTGATGACAAAGGACGAACAGAAATATTGTCATTAAAAACGACGTCAGCATTGCTGACGTCACTTACCTTGTTATTTTCATTCATTTTTAATTTAAATAAATTTAAAGATAATTAAAATCAACTAGAGATCAAAATGATAAGTCGTTTTACTTACTATTATAATTTTTACTAATCACTTTAAACTAACAATCCAATTAACAATACACAAATTAACACTATAATTATTTAAACCTATCCTAAATACTTATCTGCTAGCTTAAGTAAAAACAGCCAGTCCTCTATATCAGGTAAACGCCCGAGCAAAAGTGAAGTGCGACCCATCGTCCACCCTCCTCTTGGTCGGCCGCTTTCCCGCCATATTAGCTTAAACATAGCGCCCTCTTTTTTTTCGGAAGTACTATGTTCAAACTTTACAATTGTAAAACTATTGATAAATTAATATACCATAAAATAAGAGGAAATACGAACTTAATAATTTATTATTTTAATTTTAACATTTATGAGCTTATAATATTATTGATAATTTAATTTACCATAAAATAACAGGAAATCAAAAACAATAGTTATTTAACAACAATTGAAAACGTACAACTTATTTAAATATGAAAAGTTACTTTAGAAATTGAATTTATTATAATTTTAAATTATGAATTTATTCTAAATAAGATTAATTAACGGCATCACGCCGATAAATATTATTGATAATTTAATTTACCATAAAATAACAGGAAATCAAAAACAATAGTTATTTAACAACAATTGAAAACGTTACAACTTATTTAAATATGAAAAGTTACTTTAGAAATTGTTTTTTTTTTTATTATTTATTATAATTTTAAATTATGAATTTATTCTAATTATGATTAATTAACGGCGTCACGCCGATATACCTGTTTTAAATAGTCTCGTATAAATCCAATTCGTATAGTGTCGCACATTCCCTAATCCATAGTGCCTATACCGTTTTCAGATATAAGTATGCTAACGTTGCCATATTTCTTTCGTATCCACTTGATTTGGTGACGAATACCCTCTGGTGTTATCTGTAATAAAATATTATCTTATTTAATACTTGCGCTACAAATCGTGTACTAATTTTGTCCAACTTAAAAAAATAAATTATGTGTATGTGGCAAGGCTCGGAACTGGTTTAAAAAGACGGTAATTTATTAGCTTTTCGTTCGTTCGGATTTAGGTTTTGATATGGAAATGAATCAGTTAATCATTCATACTTCTATTAAACAATTCACCAAAAATTCGCCAAATGTAAACACACAAACTCGAAACTCATTTTACCAGTAAATTTCAATTATGGCAACTAATTTTGTCAAAAACCGATTTCCGGGTTTTAACCGGTTAAAGAACGTAATCGAAGTCTTAAACCGAAAAGCAGTTGTTTTTTTTCAGTTTGGAGTCAAAGATGAAAACTGGTTTTAAAAGTGGACGGGTTTCCGAGCCCTGATATGTGGATATGTTATACCTCAATAGGTATCCGTATATAATACGAGTACGTATATTTTAAGAAAAAATTTCATCGTTATGGAATTAAAGTGAATAATATAATATGAACCGTTTTCGGCTTTAGTTAAAAAGTAATTACTGTTGGATCAACTTTAAGTACACACATAGAATATGTCTCGAAGTGGCACATAGGCTAGTACTATTATAATAAAATTTACCAAAAGGAGATCTGATTATATTTAATATAGTAATTCAATATTTCTCCACTTGATGGCGGTACTAGTAAGCTGCATCGCGCAAGCGTTACGTTCACTTTAAGACATATGTAGCGAGGTAGTTACAATTGTAGCATCTTGATCGGGGGAAGCTCTAAAGTTATCCTACTTCTTATATCGGATGTTGAAATTATTGAGATGCGTGCTCTTAAAGTACGTATAACAATATAGATATCTATATTTATAAAAATTAAAATCGATGTGTGTTATGTGTATGACGTATGTATGTTGAATGGACTCCCAAAAGGGCTGTAGCAATTTTGATGATATTTTCAGGCAATCTTCAGATTAGCCTAACAGGTGGCTCTGTGAAGTTTAGTAGCGATCGGAAACTAAAACGCGGGCGAAGCCATGGCCCCATGGGTACTACCCGCCGGATAGTTCTTTTTTTTTTGATTCGTGGGCAAACCCCTTTGACCGAGCGCGGGGTATGTAGGACTCCTCGCAACAGACTACCCACTAAAACCACCACGGTGATCCCTATCGCAAGAGACATGTCCATGGGATCGTGCGCATTCGACTACGGGGCTAGTGCAAAATAAAGTAACAGAATGAAATCGAAGGATAACTTACAGGCTATAACAAATAACATACCGAGACAAATGCAATATCACTATGTGGCCATTTTGGGTTTGCTTCTAAAATTGCGTTTAGCTCCTTCGACCCCATGAGGAACCATGGCCCGGGTACTTCTTTATGAGATCACCCCTCACGTACAAACTCCCAAACTTAGAGACTTTACCTCTTTAGTATATTATAGCAGATTATCAGGTACCTTGAATTAATTTCTTTTCTTCTTCACTAAATGATGAAAGATTAGAATACGGGTATCCTTGTTTTGTACTGTATTCAGCCATTAGCTCTTGGACTGGTTCTGGCCAGCCCCCTTCGTTTAAATATATTTTATGTGAATATCGCCCAGTCTAAAGGAAATGTTTTGAATATATTTTTATTGTTTTTTTTTTTCAACTATTAAAATACTACAATCTTGTTGCGTCAAAAGTTTTCAGACAATCTATTATTCGTATGGTATCTGTGGGACCAAGCGGTCCCACCACCGGTGGCCGCAACGCCTTCGGCTCGAGGCCTAGACGAGCGGCCCCACCTAAGCCATTTGGTCCTCGCCGGATTTCTCCGGTACCACCCGCCGCCCTAAGCGGGTGGCATTCCCCTATCCGCCACCTGGGGACGCGCCTGGTAGGAGTTGGCTTCTCCCCCGGGAAGATAGTTTGAGACCCTGAGAAGGACATATGTATGATATTTTTATCATCCTGATCCGATCCGATTCTGTTGTACAAGCGTATACATTGTCCATAAAAAGAATTACTGACTCTGTGTAGACGAGTCACAGGTATTACAAGTTTGTGTTTGCTCCTACTATTAATGTTATGCATGTCACACTTCTTGGGAAATTCGTGTATATTTTTACGGATATACATAACATTTTCGTAAACGTACTGAGAAGCAACAGTCAATATTTTTATTTCTTTAAACTTATCTCTTAATGACACTCTAGGACCTAAACTATATGGAATTGAATTTATAAAAACGCTAAAATGCATACTTATTTAATTGTATTCAAGTGCAATTATACTAAATTTCAAGTGATTCTGATCATAAATAATTCTTTGCCAATATAAACTTTATTACCCCCTTGTACCCCTTTAAGGGATGCATTTCTTATTTTTTTTCTTAAAGCTAAATACCACTTTCTGTGTATTATAAAATATACCCTATTTTACTCACTTAATGGATAAGTTTAGAAAAACTTGTTTTTATTGGATGCCTATTATATCATATAAGGAATACGTCCTTCAAATTTCACGTTTTTACGACCAACGGCTTATGTTGTGTGTTAATCCATCAATCAGTCAGGACCACCACAGGATGCACCTCTCCTTCTTAATTCTTCCTTCAGCTGGTCTAACTTCGAGGTTACAATACATTGCACAGGTAAGATGTGAACACAATAGAAGCAAAACCCAGGGACAAAAGAGATATCAATTATGACAATAAATTTCTTAATCTCAAACTAAATGTAAATAGGTGATACGTGTGGCGTCCTCCTTTCGAGAAATCTTCCCCATTACTAAGAATAGAATTTTAATTTAATTTGTATGGAGCTTATGTCACTATCTCTAGTAAGTGAAAACATAGTTATATAGGTTATATTGGTATACACCGTAAGCAACAAGCACAAACTGGCGTAGATGTAATAGATATTTTTTCATTATCGGTAAGATATTACGGTTACATAGTATACAGGTTCGAACAAATGAATGGGACTTGAAAGAAAAGTATCTTATAATTGAAATTATCAAGATTTAATCAAAGAAAACATGGCTATATTAAAAAGAATAACAATTTTAATAAGCTTTTTTTTTAATTTTTTTTCTAATTATCTTATTTTTGTTCAAATTATACAAGAAATAGTAAAATCAAAATATATACTAAAAGGTCCTTTTTTTTAACCATTTCGATACAAAAAACTGGCGGCGGCCATGACACTTTCTAAATTGGTAGCACTGAGATGCGTTACTATTTGTCGATTTGGAGTTACATAATTTTTTTTACTTTTTTAAATATTGAACTTGTGAATAACAAGTACATGAGAGAACGAGGTACACCTTTGTTCCTCGTATGTATAAAAGAATATAAGTCTCGCAACGCAGTTCTACCGCAAAAAGTTGTGAAGTCTAATGTAAAAGCAAGTCGGTTAATTTATTCTGCACCTAAATATTTATGGAAACATCTATCCAACAACTTTGTCATAAATTGCTGCCAACATTTTATAATGACCATAAGCTACTACGTACCTAAGGTGTTCAATAAGTAATAATATTGTCATGTAATCTTATACAATTATGGTTTTTCAAAGTCACGTCCTTGACTATTAATATATTTACGCTTAAAGCAATCATTAATCCAGTCCTCCCACTTTTGTCTTAAGGACTTTAAAGACTTTAAAGAAGGAGAAGAATAAGAAGGAATTAAATCTCATTCTTCTTCGAACACGCTTATTAGCTGCTCTTCTGTTACTGAAAACTCGTTTCATGCGAATTTTGTCGTACGGAAATAAACCAAAGTAACAGGAAGCAAGATCAGGGTTGTAGGAAGGATGCTCCAGTACCTTGATGCCCGCCGCCGTCAAATAGGCCGTGGTAGCGCCAGCTGTATGTGCAAGTGCGTTGTTGTTATACAGGAAACACGAACTCACTTTCAAGATTGGTCTGCGATTTGACAATACCTCAAACAACTGAGATTTTACTGGACCATGAACTTGTGTTTTCTGTCCAGCGAGTATAACAGATTTGATTCTTTTGCAAACAGATATCGATTTTCGAGATTTAGTTGGTTGCTCCTCAACATCAAACACCCATATCTTGCTTTGTAATTTAGGTATCTATGTAATTTACGTTGTAATAATATGTCCAAGTTTTGTCGCAAGTCATAATCGAAACTACGTCCTGATTCGCCATTGGAAATAAAAATAACAAAAATTTGCGCCATTCGACGCGATGTTGTTTTTGCTGTTCGTTTAACGCATGGGGCAACGCTTTCAGTGATAATTTTGTGTAACGTAGCTACAGGAATGTTCAAAAGCTCCTCTAATTTCCGGTAGATTATGTGCCTGTCTTCTCGTATTACTTTCTCCACACGAGCTTTCATTTCTTGTACTGTGACTTCGACGGGTCTACCTGGCCAAGAACATCGTCCAGTCCAAAATCACCTCGCTTGAATTGCAGATGCCAGTGTTCTACTGTCCCCAAGGATGGTGCTTTTTGACCAAACACCGAAATCATATCATCCAGACATACTTGTTTGCCTACACCACGTTTGTAATTGTAGTACAGAATTACACGATAATCACGATTTGTCAGAGATGCCTTATCGAGATTACTAAAAAGACTTGTCAAATGTAAAAAATCAACCAAGTTATTTTTCATAGAGTAAAAAAACAAACTAGGAATGTTTTGATTATTACACCTTGTAAATATAACATTAGTTTTACTGCTTCCCTCAAAAATAACACGACAAGACTTATTGAACAACCTATATTTGAAATTGAAACCTACATATATTCTATAGTCGTGATTATGATAATTCCGCTTATCCCTTCCGTGACAATGTAATTATGATTATCACTATGTTATTGCCGATTATTCTTATGCAATTAAGTTGCTTTGCGATGGCATTCGAACGGCTTCATTCTTTTATTAAAAATTAAAAATATCTATGTGTAATGTCTATTGATGTGGTCACTATAAAATATTGTTAGTTAACTAATTATGTAGTAATTTATGACAAAGCTATTGAATAAGTGATCCTATTTATGGAAGCATCTTTCCAATAATAGTATCGAAATTGTGCTGTTGGATCACTCGTTTGTAGTAGTGTGCAGAGGCACGCGGGCGGCGAGGGCGTTTCGGATCTTCGAAGTCAACTTGGTAGAGGCCGAATTTTGATCTGAAAACACAATAAAAAACTTTTGCTATAGGATTTAAAAAAAAAAGTTATTCAGCTTAAGATACCTAGGAATACACTTAAGCAATTTTGTGGTACATTTTGTTTTTTATTCGAGATCTTTATTAATATCATCCTGAAATTCGATAACTACTTCAGTAAGTATATATGTCATAATATTTATACCTATATCCATCGTTCCATTCAAAGTTATCCAGCAAACTCCAAGCGGTATACCGTGTAACATTCACACCGTCTTCATTGATCGCAAGAAGAACCTGTAATAATGTTAGTTAAATTATAATGTCTTCCCTAAATACCACCAACCATTTAATTTGACAAACATATTAAAATAAAACATTAAAAGTGTAAAAAACCTTCCGTAATATATGGTACTAGTATCACTTAAGCTCAGACTCTCGTCGTTGTCTATCTTACATGACACAACTTCTTTATTTATATTTTAATTAAAATAACGTAGTAAAAATGTTGAATTTATTCATTGATTCACAAAACGACATACAGCTAAACTTTGGAACTTTTGCTTCCGCTCAAAAATTCTTTTAACATTTTGACCCCCTAAAAATAAATAGGGGATGTTTGTATGGAATTTCCTCATTTTTTAAGTTAGAAAAATTGAAGTTGATATCAAAGCTTCTGTTAATATTGCAGATGACAATTTCCATTAGGCTCACTGCTAATAGTAAAGTAAATTATGTTATTTCTCCTAATGTTAATGTTGTGGAATTAAAAATTTAAATTTTTAGATGTATCCTTACCTGTTCTAAATGATCCTTAAAATATTTGACGCGATCGTCATCTTTTAAACCAGAACCGTACGAAGCGACACCGTTTTCATTGATTAAAATTTCTACATCTCCATAATTTTTTTTCAACCAATTTAATTGCTTGCGGATACCTGGAGCGTATACCTAAAAAAAATTAAAACTATAAAATATATTCACATACCGTCTGTGGTTATGTGTCAACAAATTGTTTCTGTAACGTAAGAAAGTGCAATGTGATAGAAGTATGAGAGAGGCAAGGGCAAATTAATAGTCTTAGAAAATAAGTATAAAGTTTATATTGAGTATGTGTGTTTGAGCCCCCACACCATGACAAGGTGGACAACACACATGGAACACTTATAAAGGAGGAGCTAGGCAGGTACCTGGCGAGAGTAAGTCGCTACTTTAATATAAAGATTAATCTTATATACGAAAACTTTTTGTTAGGCTACTTACAAAAAACCAATTGGTACCAGCTTTCTTCCATTCTGGACGAACGGACATGTCAATTTCAAAGTCAGCATTTCCAAAAAAAGGCCATAATCCGATAGGATCCCCCTTTTCTGCCTTGTAAGCTGTACGAGATGTGTAGTAGTTGAAACCGTAGAAGTCATATGTTCCTGGAAACAAGCATTAATTACAGTATTTTGTAATTGGTAAAGGGGAATCATAGAGACGGAAGAAGAAGATAACTAAGATACTAAGTAAGGTTTTCTAGAAGCAGTGAAGTTGGTTTAGATAGTAGATAGATGGGGTACCTTTAATTAAATCAATTTCTTCCTTAGTGAATGGTGGTATTCGAGATTGAGCTCGTCCTTCCTTTTTAGACTTTTCCGCCATTATCTTCTCAACTATTGGTGGCCAACCACCTTCTTTAGAGAAAATAGGGTGTGAGTACATCCCGGCCTGAAAGATTGTTGTCATATTTTAGATATTCCGCCGTCTTATATGTACACGTAACGTTGAGTGGTTGTATAGAGCATTATCTCTGTAGGGATACTTATTTTTATGGTTCCAACTTCCTTAGTGTTGGACTAAAATGGGCTAAAAAGTATCTAAAAATTACTCGCAAATTTTGAATTTACTCTAATTTAATATTAATAACATATTTTTCGTTAAATATTTATTTAGTTATTAAAAATAGTTACAAATTACTAGCGACCGTCTTATATACTGTTACTACTCCAGAAATATTTAATTGCACAAAACACCCATTGGAATATACTTATAAAATATGAATATTATAAGTATAATATAATGGGTGTTTTGTCAATATAATATAAATAATACATATATACAGTACTAGCAGAACCCGCTGCATCGCTCGCGCTAAAACTACAAAAAAACTCTAAAAAGTTGGTTTCATAAAAACTTTCATGTACTATTTTACCTCCTTATGGCATAAATTTTGAAAAATGCTAAAACACGATATATTCAATTGTATGGAAGAGCATTAATACCAAATTTCAAGTAATTCTGATCACAAATAATTTTTGAGTTGTATCATAACGTGTTTTCCCATGGAAATGAGATTATCTCCCGCGGTAAAAAGTAGTCTATGTCACTCTCCAGCCCTCCCCTCCACACAAAAATATATGCCAATCCGTCACTCGTTTCGACAGGAAAAAAAACAAACAAACACCCTTTCATATTTATATTATTAGTATAGATATTCAATTTATGTAAGTAGTATTATTGCAAATTTATTTCCAAGGCATAGAGGTGCATCATTTACAACATCTTGCAAAGTTATCATAGTACCGTAGCTTACAATAAACTTAAGTGTGTTTATATTATAATATTAAAAGTAAAAAGTTAGCAAAGAAGTTTTGAAATACCATAAGTTGCCTTGCAAGTTCTGCTGTTTCTTCATCAGTTTCATTCCTTCCTTCTATCCATATAATATGGTTTGTGAGAGATACTTTTCCTATAAAATATTAAAAAGTCGTTTAAACTAAATTATTACAACTTTTTTTTGATATTTGTATGCAAGTACTTGTTGAAAATTTTTTTTGCTATTATTAACCTTAGCGAAAATCTCCAAATCTCGTTTAGATAAATTACGTCTTTAATTTTAAGACTGTTCAATATTTAATACAAAACAGTAAAATTACAAATATCCTGAATTATATTAAAAAAGTATGGAAATATTGTTATATTTGCAATCATCAATTATTTATAAAATATTTGTAACTAACCATTATGTTTGGGTCTGAACTCCTTGTCGTATATTCTCCATGCCTTCGCGTGAGCAAGCAAGGCGTACTTATTGCACATGAAGTTACCGATCCCTGAACTAATAATACCTGGTGCATGCACCCCTGTATTGTAGGTAACATCACAGAAAGCACTAGGTTCGTTCAAAGTTATCCAGATTTTGACGCGGTCAGCAAACAACGAGAAGACAACACGAGCGTATTCAGCAAACCAATCTGATATTAGAGGGTTGGTCCATCCTCCTAAAAGTAATTTTTAGATAATATATCCCCTCTATTTTTTCTAATTTTTCGACGAGAAAATAACACAATGTTTTAAACATTACATGCATATAATAAGGCAAATATTAGGTTGAATAAACAATACCGATAAATATCTGTTTTTATTTTAAGTTAAACATAGCTTAAATAAAAGAAGTCCTATATTAGAGGCCAATTTTAGGGGTTTTGTTTGTTTCCAAAATTTTCATAAATTTTTTTGAAATACAGTATCTTTAAAACAATTATCAAAATCGGTTCACTCAAATTCAGTAACTTTTTTGAAATCGAAAATATCTGCAAGTTTGCATATCGATAAGCAAGTCAAATGTTCTAAATAGTAATAATTTTCAAAAAGTTATCTTACCCAGATCCTGCAAAGTCTGTGGTAGGTCCCAATGGTATATAGTTACAACAGGTTCGATTCCTTTCTCGAGTAAAGCATTAATTAAATTATTATAATAATTCTTTCCATCTTCGCTTACATAGTTTGAAAAAGCTTTTGGCATCAATCTTGGCCAACTTAGAGAAAACCTGGAATTATATATAAACAGATAATATTGATAAGCTTTACAATGTTTAGTGATAGGTAAATGAAGCAGATTCAAACCCCAGGTCTCAGACCTCATATGTTTTTATGTACGAATTATTTTCAATATAATTGATTACTAAATTATCGTGAGGAAGTCTACATGTCTCAGAGAATTATGAAGGAACATAATTGTAAACAATTATGAGTGTAATTTTGGGTGTAATTCAGTAAGCTGATAGTCCATGAACTAGAGTATCTACATGGGCTACTGTTATTCACCAAAAATGTTATATACACATTTAAATTCAATATTTACCTATAGAAATGCAGGCCCAAGTATGATGCAATTTCCACATCCTCCTTCCACTGATGGTAACTGTCGCATGCTACGTCTCCAGTTGATAAATCAATGACATTCTGTGGCCTCGAGTGAATAAAGTGATCCCAAATACTCACCGATTTATCTGCAAAAGGTATTTTATATAGATATTATATTAATTAGAGAGAGAAGTATCCTTAACATAAGAAAAATACAAAAAGTCAGGAGCAAAGTAATCAGGCAGAAAACAAAGATAACAGATGCCTTCACACAAGCTCTAAAATTGAAATAGCAGTGGGCAGGTTACGTATCGAGATACACAGACAGCAGGTGGACAATCAATACTACAAGATGGAAAGGGCCAATTGGCAAAAGAAGGGTACGGAGACCTAAAAGCCAATAGGCTGACGATAAAACTGAATTAATAGGAAAAGATTGGCAAACTATCGGCAAGTACAGAGATAAATGGAAAGGACTTCACCCGAGGAGGGGTCCATATCCAATAACAAAAACTAACTCTTACTAACATTTAGACAATAAGCAAAACGTTAATAACTAAACACTATCAAACAAATACCAACTTTTGAAATGGAAATTAAGGATAAGGAAATACAGGCTTTTTTTTTATTATTATATTAATTGGACTTTGCCGAAATCCTTGGCACTGCATCTTTTGCACTTATGCACTTGGCAGAATCATTTTCAATACGATTACCACTTGCTAATATGGTGAAGGAAAATATTTATAACAGATATGTATGTACATCAAAACAATATACTCGTATGTACTAGAAAATTCTAAGCCTTAAAAAGACCTACAGAAAAGTCTCCCATAATATATGTGTCTGGCTATCTCAGAATAACTGTTTTTTCTTTATTTAAAGACGTTAAAAATAAATCCTAATTTTTATTTTTACATACGTAGACGTAGTTTATCAGGTACAGAAAAAAAATAGCTTTAATTTGATATCAAAATGATGAATATACACGCCTTGAACGTATAAACATAACAAAATATGACCTGCTTACACCTGGCTGCGAAGAGGTATCGGCCAAGTGTGCAACGGTAGCTATCAGTTTTCAAGATCTATACGTATATTTCTGTGCAAGCGTGTGTCTCAACATAGGTTGAGAAGGCGCAGGCGGGAGCTTCGTTCCCGGCTTAGCCTTCTCAACCTATGTTATCCAAGTCGGGCCTGTCACATAATCGAAAATTAAAACTTACAAAAAATAATTTATTATCCAGATGCTCTAATGGACTAAGATCCCGCTGCAAGATTGCTACGTTCATAGCATATTTAATCAAAATCATTTTTTTATATACAATAATAAAAGGGACAATATGTTTAATTAAATAAATAATAATTGAATTTTTGGAACAAAAACGATGCATTTGTTATTAAAATGATGTCATTACTTAAAAGGTCCATGCTATTTAAAAAATATTGTTTTTATTTTTTTCTAGAGAGGTCCCTTTTGTTAGCTTATTGATGGTTTACTTAACAGATTTTAATTAAATAATTTGTTCGAAGACACTGTCACTCATCTTCCTTCTGTGCGGTTTCATAATCATGCCACCATAAGAAAATAACCTTTTATAACGGTGCAGAGCTATGCAGGTAGGTATTATATTTTAAGAAGGCCATCTTGACTGTTGGATATTTATTTAACGATTGCAGGATGACATTATCATTTATCATCCTTCAAGTTTGTAGTGATTCCAGGTCAGTAGTGGTGTTTGCACTTGCACTATCACCAGCTAGTGAGGAATCTGAATCATCATGAAACATATAGTAGATTCAATTTTTTCTTTTGAGTGTGATTGAGGCTTATTTTTAATAAAAAAAATATTTATCACGTTAGTTTATTAATGTTAACAAAACTTATCAAAAGCTAATTGGCATTTTGCAAATACAAGATATGGGCATATTTTATATTTGCAAAATGTATGGGTATTTTTAAATAAAATACAAAATGCTTTTTTAAAAAAGTATTTAAATACAAAATGGAAATAGGTATTTTATATTTTGCATTTAAATATTAGCAGACATTTTTAAAGTATCTCATCCTACTGATAAAGTAATTTTAATTAGTCATGGAAATCATATTAAAAAAATGACTAACACTTCTTATTCACGAAGTGTCCACATCTACTATATTTCAATATTTTCGTAAAGACGATATGATTCATCAGAGAATACTATTTTAGAACATTCTTTTGTTTTTTTTCTATCACTAGTAAGGAATCCCATAGATAGATAGGTTAATGAAATATAGCTATATGTATGTATGTATGTATGTATATATATATATATATACATATATACAGAGTAGGTTTATAACATAACTGAAACTCACCGCTAATATTCCAGGCCCCTTCTATTTGATAGGCGGATGTCGCTGCACCAAACTTGAAGCTAGGTGGGAATCCCTTACTCTCTACTGCGCTTGCGCATGTTATTATACTGAAAATAGAAACGTTACTTTGTATTATTACTAGCAACTTACGCTCGCTTTGCACGGGTGTGTCCCTAGGTACGTGCACATAGCGTTAGTACAGTTTAATAGGCAGATCTATTTAAGAGGAATAATTCTGTAATACACTGTCATCTTTGGTGAATGTTTTTCCACGTCTAAATTCGACGTACCAACGTACAACTGTCGAATACTGTAGAGCGTTAGCTCCTAAAGTTTCTAGTAAGTCTTGATTAACTCGTTCCGTAGTGAATTTTTCAAGCACAGATACTTAATGAGATACAGGCTTTGCCTAGTGTGTGTACCTTCAAATATAAAATACATTGTAAACTGTACTTTTTCGGCAAAAAAGATTAAAGATTATTATTATTTAATAGCAAAACCTTATCTAAATACATAATTGATCCAATTCGTCAGAGCCGTTTCCGAAATCCACAAAATATATATACAATAATTGCTCATTAAATTTTATATAGTAAGTACTAACAGAGTTTTATCATTTCATTAAAAAAAAGTATTTTACCAAATCAGTGTACCGTTCACTAACAAACTTTACGCTACAAATCGATGTATTCTTTTTGCCGTATCTGATGAAGTGGAAAATCTCTAAATTGACTGCGATGTAGTTCTTCCCCATACATTCTCATTTAATAACACTAGTCACGTATCACATATTGGCTTTTGGTTTAAGTTGAATGGGAGAGTTATTTGAGTGAGTCATATTGGCTTTCCAGCTGATAAAAAAATTACATAGAAAGGGTGCGACTTGGTACCACAATTTTATGATGAATTTCGAAAAATTCTCATTTCTTTCTCTCGAAGATCTTATTTCTTTTTGTATATAGTTCCCTTTTTTTCTTATCTGGTACTGTCTCTTGTGCGTATACCTAACTCAATTTAGCCTTTTTTTGTTTAAGCATTTGTTTGCAGGTTCAAATCGAATATATTTTAGGAATATACCTACATAGTAATATTATGTCGTCTTAGTCACTGTAAATTCAGGCTTCTAGTTTAATCCAAAACGAAGTTGCAGAAAGATCGAAAATATCCTGAATGGCTTCGAGAAAAGGGTGGTGTGGCTATACATTTTTTTGCCCGACTTGGCGGGGGCACTATCGATTTTTATAATGATGATTGATGTGATTTTTGTTCAATTTTGCGGTGCGCAATGAATGAAATATACATTATTAATATGTACCTAAAACCTTAGAATTTAGTTTTTGGTCGTCTGAACGCGGGCGGACCCGCGGGCAATGCTAGTCTATACATAAATAGGCAAAGACAAAATAGTTCAGTATCTTTTTCTCCTCTGCTTGTCAACTGTTTTCCTCTTTTTTTTTGTTCAGTAGATCCCCTATAGATAGAGTCCCTAGGTACGTTAGTAGATGTGTTATTATTTTAACAAAATGATAATATAGAATTTCAACTACTAGGCGAACACGAGTATCATTTAATAATTAGCACCAAAACTTATTCTAAGGCTTTTAATCTTTTACTAATATCAGTGCCTATCTTTAAAGTTGTACTCGAATATATAAATAAAAAAAAGTATAGTAGAGCAAAAGATCAGAAGAAGACTACTTTAGACTTCGATCAACAGTAGTATTGTTGATCGAAGACTTTTGACCAGCGGTTCCCAAATAGTGCTCCTCGGAACCCTAGGATTCCGTGGAAGGGTCACAGGGCTTCCGGAGTTCCGTCCGAGAATTAAAAAAAGTGAAGTTAAAAAAGAAATGAAGCCTAATTTTAGTGCTTTTATATGTGAAAAAATTTCATTCATTACCTTAAGTAGTTAGGTAAAATTTTTGGTGCAATAAATATATTTTTGATTTATAATAATTTGTTCTTTCAACGTCGGGAAGCAAAAATCAAAATAAATCCGCGAAATAATGCGAAAAGATAGTTTTATTTAAATTGTTCTTTCAAGTCAAACAAGAAAGTATTCTAACTACAAAACAATCAGTTTAGTTAATATCAAAATGGGAATCCGTTAAGAAAATTATGATCAATTAGGGTTGCGTGGCCAACAACAATTGAAAACCGCTGGCTTAGACCACTAAAAAATTTCAAGAATACAGTAAAATAACCACCGAAACTTTTAGGTCATATTAATTCCAGATATAATATGCATATGGGGAATTCCATGTCAAAACGGAAGTTTTCCAAAAAAAATATAGTTGATTTTCTTAATTTTTTGGTATTTATAGTACCCCTAAAGAGGCTTCCTGGCGAATTTGAGATTTTTTTATTACTGGTTCAAAAAATATCGAACTTTCAAAAAAAATCGCTCTTTGTTCGGTTTTTGGGTTATAACTTTTAAAAATTGAAAAAAAAGTTATTATGTAAAGCCCACTACCGGACCGGGCTTAAAAGTTGTATGATAGATAGAATTTTAAAATAGAAAATTTTCAAAAAAATCAAGGGATACACATTTTTAAAAACATGATTGAAAACTTAAAATTCAAAAATCTCGATTAAAAACATTTTAAATATTTTTTATATATATATTTTGTGTAAGGCTCATCCAAAAACCAATTTTTCGAAAAAAATAAATAAATTTCGACCATTATTAATAAAGTTATGAGCAAGAAAACAAAAAACGGGGATTTTTTGAAAATTCGACATTTTTTGAACCAGTGATCAAAAAAATCTCAAAATTCACCAAGAAACCTCTTTTGACGGGTACTAAAAATACCAAAATAATAAGAAAATCAAAAATAAAAATTAAAAATGTTTGAAACCATTTGGCATGGAATGCCCCATATATTTAACATTATTATATGAATTTAAAAACATTTCACGTACTAACCATATTACAAGCATCTGCCAATACATGTCGAATTTAGAATTGTGATGCTAAACTACGAAAGTATATTACGAACGCTTACCACAAACAAAACTAACTCTAGTACTACTTTTCCTTTATTTATAAATGCCAAAACCCTTATCATAATATGTTATCTCCACATGAAAACATAATTAATTTATTATGCTCTCCCCCTATATTTTTAATTTTTATTCGCAACTCTTATTTTAATTCGGAAAATTATTTACTAATTATATAATAATGCTTATGGGGAAAAACATAATATCTGATAATCTTAAAATGAATGAAGTAACAAAAAATCTTCATTTATTAGCTCAAAAATCAATAGGTTATAAAGTTGAGTTTTTGATGTTATGTAGGTTGCACCGTGTGGTGTCCGGCATAGATTAGCTCCACCTCTTTTCTAGTCGAGGGTGTTGTAAAAGACGACCAAGGCATAAATACCGGAGGATGGGCAGCAGCATTTTCCAAACGCATGCGCAAGTAAATGCGATGACTTACCCCCCTACCAAGCGAGGTGATTATTACAAATCCAGCATCCCCACCCCTCCCCAGAATGATCAACATGGTCATGCACAATACTGGCCCGCAGTACCGGCAGCCCCACTATTCCTTGTCATGGTAGCGTAACCAGTTCTATTTTCGGGATGGCGACCAACTGTCCCAGGATTATGTCGGGCATAAGCCCGACCATATGGTCCACCAATATCTCGTGAACAACGTGGTAACTATCGGGAGCCTGTCGACCAGGGTGGTGGTGGGTGGAATATCGAAACTTATTCCTTAAAAGTAGTTCAGGTGTAAGCCCCAACCGCAACACATCCTGATGAGCAGGAGAAGTGTAAGTATGAAGACGTTAGTAGAGCCATGCATAGCTGCAAAACCTACTTCACCATTGTAGGACGATTGATGGGAGACTTCAATTCGAAACTAGGCGAGCGAGAAGGCGGTGAGCGGGGCCAATTTGCATTCGGATATCGAAATCGGCATTAGGTAAACATTTACTTGCGGTTTTCTAGGAGGAGGAGGGATAAATAAAAAAGGTTTCAAGAAACGAAACCACAGAAAGTGCACGTGGGTGAGCCCGGATGGACCAAATAAAACGAAATAAACATATACATATATAGAAACTGGCGACTTATTCTCGCTTCTCTCGGGTGCTTCCCTAGGTATGTTTTAAATAGATATGAATAGTTATTGCGAGTGAACCTTAGGAGAAAGATTTATGCTATTGCAAATTTTTCTGTATGCCTTTTTAAAGCCTACAATTTTCTAGTACATTACAGTAAGGTAAGGTAGGTACATACAGTAAGGTTTAGCCAGGGTTATCCTTATAAATTTCTAAGGACAATTTGATATAAGAATGAAATCGGTCCAACGGTTTGAAAAGTTAACCCGTACAAACAGACAGACAGACAGAGAAACAAAAAAATTGAAAAAAAATCTGCATTTGTTCTATTTTTCTTCTTAAATCCCCTTGACTCGGTTTTTAGCATATTTTTTTTGTGTACAGACATTCGACCTCTACAGTTTTATTATATGTATAGACTGTAAGCTGTACTTTTTTCGCAATAAAGATTAAAGATTATTATTAAATAGCAATACCTTATCTAAATCCATACTTTGATCCAATTCATTAAAGCCATTTCCAAAATACACAAAATATGTACAATAATTGCTCATTACATTTATATGATAAGTACTAATAGAGTTTTCCCTTTAATAAAAAAAAAATTAGCTTGCCAAATCAATGTACAGTATACTAGCTGATTTTAATTCTTCTCAAACACCCTTATCCTCTCATTTAGAAAGTTTCTTTAAGTTTACCAAACTACCTCATCCTTTATCTCGCTTTCCCTCTAACCCTCTTTTTGGCATTCCTTACAATGCTCTGACTGTCTCTCCTTCCATAATCATGGAACTTGGTTTGACTAATAAAGCTCCTGACACCAACACAAAATTTCAAAAAATAGTTTATGATAATTAATCGAACCACCTGCTCATTTTTACTGATAGCTGTATTGGTACTGCATGGTCGGTTCGGTAAATTCAAAATTGTTTTACAGTTTAAATCTGCTCCAGAAACATCGGTACCTGTAAGAAACGAGGCTGTCGCTCTGCTGGAAGCAATCCTATTTACCCTCTCCCACGACACTCAAACAGACAGTCATACTGACACACTCTCAGTTGTTTGAGGCAATTAAGGAGAATTTATTTCGTAGCAAATTAAGATCTTCTATTGTTTTAAAAATTTGTAAAGTTTTGTACACATGTAATCAAAAGGGCATGTCGGTCTCTTTGGTTTGAGTCCCAGATTCTGGTATTGTGGTTAATGAAACTTCGAATTCCTGTGCAAAATATCCCATCTATTGTTGGATAAATGTACAGAAAAAGCTTGGTATAATTATCTGGAGTTGTTAGATTATAGACTAACTTTTTTTGTAAAACAACTAGAATTTACTCACCTGCACTTATTTCTAAATATTTTTTTATTTATATACTAGCGACTCGCCCTCGTTCCGCTCGGATTAGTCTCTAGGACTATCATCAAATCAAATTCAATCAAAATCTGTCAAGTGGTTTTCTTGTGATTTGTTCCCAGTGAGACAGATAGACAAAAATTCTAAAAAATATAGATTCAGCCTCTGTATCGAGAATAATGACTATTTCAATAAGATTTTCCGAAAAATATTTAATGTACAAATTCGACTCAGTTAGAATTTTGTTATATGTATAGTAGATAGATTGATTGTTCTGTCTTTCGTTGTATGTCCAAGGTTTATTAAGATCCCTTTTTACACATTACAATTTAATATAGTGTGAAACAATGAAACACTTTTCCTGATATAATCGTTATATTGACAATAATTAAAAAAAATATATACACAACTCAAAATCATACGTCCCGCCCAAACTTCAATCAATATCTTCGTCGTCATACTTTTCCTGCCTGCCTGGCACCTGCGTAAACGAACACCACAGAGGTTGTATGAAGGCGTACTTGATGTCTTCGAATAAACTAGCGACGCGTAACAATAGTTTTAATAATTTTATTTTACCGACCAATCTCCAACGTGTTTTCTCCATTCTACGTGACATTGGCGAAGTAATCTGTGCTCAACTGACACGCTTTGAAGCCATTAACAAGAAAATTGAATTGAACATGGTTTATTTAAAATTATAGCGTTTAAAGAGATTATAATTATTATTGGCTAGGAATTTTTGACATTGCAATAATGTAAATATAATTAACTGCGAAATTACCATTTCGTGACTTGATTTTAAACAACAAGTTGAATAAAGCTATGTTATCAACTAGAGGTCATAACGCATTTACTAAGTTTACTAATATTTTATTCAGCCCTTTCTGCAGGGCACGGGCATCCCTTGTATACTAGGGATTATTTGTCTTGACTTTGCGAGTGTCATAGGGTCATATAAATACCATTAAATATTAAAATGGCACATTTCAGGCGCCAATTTTTGTCTTGAAAAAAAAAATGCGTCCGAATTAATCAAGTGGGGTATCACATACAGGTTTTGGAGCTGCGATTACAAAAATATAAAAATATACTTAATACTTTCTTAGATTTACGCGAATATATGACATTTTAAATAAAACTATCTTTTCGGATTCTTTCGCGGATTTATTTTGATTTTTGGTTCTCGACGTTTCAAATGCTTTACAACAATCATGGCCACGGGAGAGACTAAGGTTTTAGACATCTCAAAGGCGTTATATACTTGTTACAGATAGTTTCTACCCACAATTTTACAAAAATTCAAAAATGGCACCAGAGTACCTTACAATATTTGTTGATTTTAATTCTAAACATTTTTTTATAAGTAATTATAATTATATACAGTAATATTATTTATTTAATTTTAGCTCTTACTATTACAAATATTACAATAATTGAAAATACAAAATTCGTAAATAAAACTGAAGAATTCAAATTGACCAAAACAAGAAGGCTGTAAATAAAAATATATTTTACTAAAATTTAAAAAAAACCCGATGCGTAAAAAGCAAACTAAAAAGATGAGAACAAGTTGACGGAGAAACATAGTGTTACGTAGTCGGAGAAATACCTACACGTAACAAGACTAGCAGCTAGTATAAAACATTTATAGATAGATAAGAGTCATAATATTTTTTTTGGAAAACTATTATTTGGTAAATGTTTAGCTTAATTATCCATATACTACGAACATCATCTTTGGTGGTCACTCACCTTGTGGGCTTTATCAGGGCTAAAATAATAAAATATTCAATGCTCAATACACAATTTAATCAGGGAAATCATAATGTTATAAACTTGAAGCGGTAATTCTAATAATATAGAGCAACAGCAGATTTGGGACGTCAATCATCGACTTCCAACTACAATATCAAAACATAACTCTCTATGATCCACCATGATCAACCAACGTTACTAAGCTACGTATCTCTATTGAATGTCGTGATGGCGTCTCGACCCCGCTCGAGACGTAGTCTCTGCTCTAAATTTAAAATCATTTTAAAAACAATAAAAAGTAAACTCAATAACATAGTGACTTTAAACAATGAGGCTTCATATTCTAACAGAAAAAGGTAACTAAATCCTCCTCCGCCACGGCCATCCTGCTGTTCACACGCCCTCGTGTGATGTTGAAAATCGAGTTGAATCTATAGAAAAAGTAACATTAGTTCGGCTAATCCTGACCAAATAACTGACCACGATGGCAAATCTTACTAAAACTAGCCATCGATGCAGTAGATATTTAGTGCAAAAGTATACGCACAGACAGACACAGACAATTGGATAAATTTATTCGAACACAAATATTTCAAAAGTAATTCTCGTAATTTATCGATTAAACACATTAACTTCATATATCATCCTGAAATAAACAAATTTTCCATTTACTTTTTCCATATATATTGTGTTCAAAAATATTTCGGCGATAATAATATCTAAAAAATCAAATCCAGCAAGCAACAAATCTTTGTCGACGTTATGTCATTCCATAAAAATTAAATTGATACATCTATGATTATTTTAATCTTTTAAGCGCCTTGCATATACCTATCATATCATGATTTATTATTATCAAATTAAAGGTAAATCTTCTGTAAAACAACCTGCATGTGCATCGCCATTTTGTGCATCCATTTTCAATAACATTTAACATCGCATTTTGTTTCAGTCTGAGAAAATTTTTGCATCAAAATTTTCAAATGGCCGCTCCCAATCTATCTTTGCCCTGTTCTTCGGGTATTATACCACTTCTGACGTCGTGTTCTCTATATATAGACCAATCGGAATCCGATTATTTTTAAGCGAAAAATTTATATTGAAAACCTGATTTATTAATTTTAAAATGTTAGCAGGTATATAAGGAATACAAATTCGTAAAACGCCCCACATACACAGCAACCCCCGAGAAATGGGGGGACGCAAAGCGTTGAAAAATAGTTTTTTTTCAATTTTCGGCTTACTGTGACGTTCTTTCGAAAAAAAATTTCTACAAAAGTTATAGGTCTAGTAAAAATCTACAACTTTTATAAATAACACTTTTTACAATAATCTTAAAGTTTTCAAGATATTTGCGAAAAACTCGGTTTTTAACTTTTTTCTTGGTTTTTTCTTTTTAATTTCTAGAATAATCTCTTGATTTTCATAAAGCTAAGGATACATAATCTACAAAATACATATAATAAAAAAAATGGAATTGAAATGTTTAGCCATTTCCGAGAAAAATATTTTTTATGGTCTCAAGAAGCTGAAAATCACCCCAACTTCAAGTGGGCGTTTAGATTTAAAAAAAAATCGTTCAAATTTCAGATAGGGCTCATTCTTTTCGTCTTGAACTCTACTTTTTGAAAATATGAAAACATTGTATAGTCGTCTTGTAAAAACACACTTAAAAATTTACAAAATTGGAGAAATCGGTAATTTTTACTTTGTAAACTACATTTTTATTTATGTAACCAAATTTTTATAAACTTATTACAACAATGTATTTTTCAGGAAAAAACGAAAAAAATTGTATCCTTAAGTTTCTAATTTGACGCTTATTATTTATACAATGTCGCCGTATATGTATATATATATATATATATATGTGTGTGTGTGTATATATTTCAGGCCAATATCTGTGATTGAGGAATTATCACTTTCGTTACAAGTACCGTTTTCCTCAATATTTTTTAATTAAACCGCTTTTATGTATATAATATTATATGTTAATCAAACTGGTTTGTTATCTCTACATTACTAAATTAAAGTTAATTACATTTATTTTAATCATAATTTTTTTGAACCTTTTCCCGTTTTGGGCCACGTAGCGAACAGCAACAAAATGTATACCAGTAGATTGGTCTATGTGCGCCGTTTGTACGAATAAAAACTTCTAAAAAATCGACTTCCAGGCACTAAAATGTAAAAAATTACTAAACGGAGGTTTTCATTTAGAATAGATACCTAATCAGATATTTTCGAAGTCTAATAAATCTAAGTCTAAGAAATGTAATAGATTTCGATACGTAAAATACATATTTACCTATTATATATTCACATCTTAAAAAATTGTCGGCTGGCACCGACTTCGGATAGGATTTTCTCATTTTTTACATAATATAATTTAATTTATACATATAATAAAAGTCAAATCTGTAAATTCAATATTTTTTGGAAAATCTTATTGAAATAGACATTATTATCGATACAGAGGCCAAATCTATCGTTTTTAGAATTTTTGTCTGTCTGTTATCGCATCACAGAAAAACCACAGGAGGGATTTTGATGAAATTTGGTATGGTGATAGCTGTTTATCCGGGTCAACATAAAGGATACTTTTTACCGCGGGAAAACATCTCATTTTTGAGAAAAAATACAAAAACTGCAATGTAAGAGTAAAACCTAAGAATTTGGTTCTCAGTCATCTGAACGCATGGCGAGCCGCGGGCAATTCTAGTCTACTATATAATAATCTTATTTTGCCGACCAATCTTCTTCGTATCTTCACCACTCTACGTGACATTGGCGAAGTAATCTGTGCTCAACTGGCACGCTTTGAAGCTATTAACAAGAAAATTTAGACTTTTACATACTAATCAGTATAAATATATACCTGGGCTACCGAGCTTCGCTAGGAGTTTTTGGCCTAAAGTACAATTTTCTTTTTGTTTTTAACTAAAAATTTGAATAAATTAAAAAAAAAATTATCGACCATATTTTGCGTGGAATAATGCAAAAGAAAACTGCATGAAAACTCGAAAACACGCGATTCTCAGACATAAGACTAATCGATTTATCGCCCCCGAAACCTCCTGTATACTGAATTTCATAAAATTTGTTGGAGCCGTTTCCGAGATTCAGATTATATATATACAAGAATTGCTCGTTTAAAAATGTAAGATAAATGTGAATGTTTATGGATGTTTGTTACTCTTTCACGCCAGAACTGCTGAACAGATCCGGATGAAATTTGGCACAGATAGATAGATTAGTCTGGAATAATACATAGGCTACTTTTTATCACGGAAAAATGTATGATTCCCGTGGGATAAAATTGTTTTTGTCTAGGGACGAACCCGAAACGAACCAAGGGTAAGTCGCTGGTAAGAAATAAAACTACTAAATTCTATAAAAAAACTTTATTGAACTTTTTTCTGTTGTTTAAAAGCTTTTTGTAATTTCAAAAGTGGCTCGTTTTTACTTTTACGCTTTTCTTTCTTCAGCTGTCCCGTTTCTAGCGCCTTTTTCATTACCTGTAAAGATTTAAAATTACATATATATTCTTTTCTGCATTATTTTTATCTTTATACTTAGATTTACATAGATATTTGACATTTCAAATAAAGATATACATAGAAGAATAATTTTGCTCTATTAATATTTTAAATTCTTTAAGATTTAAACGAACTATTCTTGTATATTTATACCGGCCATCTCAGAAACAGCTCTTACGATTTCGCTGAAATTTGGTGTGTGCGGGTTTTCGGGGGCAAAAAAACGATCTAGATTAGTCTTGTCTGAGAAAACGCGTGTTTTCAAGTTTTCATGCGGTTTTCTTTCGTATTATTCCAAGTATCGTGGTCAAGCGGCGTAGGCGCAAGATTGAGAATCACAGGTATCCGGGTTCGAATCCCGGTCGAATACAAAGATTTTACTTTTGTTTTTTTTTTGTATTTATTCAAGCTTTTAGTTTTTTTTTATTTAAAAAATACGATATAACAAGAGTCAACGACGTAACGTAACGTAAAAAAATCCGAGTGAAGCTCGGTCACCCAGGTACTATATATAATAATAGCAACATTTTGTAAGATTATTATTATGTAAGATTATTATTTAATTAAGTTAGTCTGTCTGTCTATGTTTGTCTGTTCGTCTGTTTGTTCCGGCTAATCTCCGAAATGGCTGGACTGACAAAGGGACAGACAGACAAAAATAAAAAAAATGTGTTTTTCTTATAAGTACCGTATATACTTTGACAATATGTATTTAGTAAAAAACTGATACTTTGATATTACAAACAGACCCTTCAATTTTATTTATGTGTATAGACTGACGCCTTAGTATGTCACTAGTATAACTTATTAGACTGAACTCGTATACCATACCTGTAAAGCATCTTCAGTACCCGGATTCAAAGCATCTGGTTGGTTCAAAGTGGGGTATTTGAAGGAAAATCCCTTTGGAAAGAGCGGTCTTGACATCAATATTTCTAACTGACGTTTCTTGGCCTTTACAGCTTTATCTATATTCGGATCGTAATTTGCTGCGGGACTGTATAATTAGTTAAGGAAAAAATAAGTTTAAATATCATCATCACTACCGTAATCATCATCATAATCAGCCTACTTTCGTCCACTGTTGGACATAGGCCTCTCCTGTAAAGTATACACTAGTAACATATATGTACAATGTACATACATACATGTTTTTAAATATTATAAATTAATTTACTTTATTTTAAAAGAAGGACAAACAAACAAACATATTTTCACATCTCTAAAATTACTAAAGAATATAGATTAATATTTTTTTATTATCTTTGAAAACCAATAAGTGCCTTCAGAAATGCAGATTTTTTTTAGCCTACTACTGGTATCTACCCAAAAAATATACATATAATATAAAGGCATATGTACATGACGTCTTTTTAACGCGCTGTTGACGGGGATTATCAAGGGGCGTTAATGTCGACACAAACGCATGTAACTTGCGTTTTTTTTTATTTATTCATGTCCTTAGTAACGTCTTATTTTTTACGCAGAACTGTAATTCTTTTTCTTCTTAGTTACTCCTTGTAACATTAACTATTTGCCAGTGAAAGTCTCGTCAAAATCAGTACAGTCGTTTTGGAGATTAACCGGAACAAACAGACGGACAGACAAAAATTATAAAAAATGTTTTTTTCTTAGTACCCTATATAATTTCATATATGTTCAGTAAAAAGCTTAAATTTAATAATGAGAAAGTAAGACAATAAAAATTAAATAAGAATCAGCAATCAAAACATAATATAAATAACGCACGTATCACGAATACGTGTCGTGTACGCGTTTATAAAGCGCAGTGTGCACGAACCGATTAGACAAAAAAAAATGTAAGCCAAATATTTAAAGTATACAATTCATACTCTCTTGGATATACGCGAATATTTGACATTTTAAATAAAATCTATAACAATTATATAATGACCTTTGAGACGTCTACAACCTCAGTCTCTCCCGTCACCATGTGCGCTGTAAAGAATTCGAAAAGTCGGAAACCAAAAATCAAAATAAATCCGCGAAAAAATCCGAAAAGATAGTTTTATTTAATATTTATAATCTGTATGTATTTAAAATTATATATATGTAGTGTATCAACTATCTGGTATCCTTAACATGAGCCTCGTAGCTTACCATGGAACTAGATGGTGCTGTGTGTTAAAGTCCCAACATATTTATTTATTTTATATTTAAAAAGGATACACATCATCATCATCTAAGATCATGTCCAAATCTTTGGCCACTTTATCCCTCCATCCCTGCGCTTGAGTCACTCTCTTCTTCTTCAACAACAAAGCATCTAGATCTCTTGCTAAATTAATCATATCTTTAATGGGAGATAAACTAGATGGTGGTACAGGGAATGTTGGTATTTCGGATGCTGAAAAGAAAATTTAATATACATAAAGGTGCATATTATAACACAAAGTTCCCCCACCGCGTCTATCTGTCTGTCTGAACGCGATAAACTCAAAAACTACCGAACGAATTAACATTCGGTTTGTATCAATGTACAGTGAGTCAAGAGGAAGGTTTAGATGTATGATTGATTAAGATTTTGTATAAATTGCCTGAAATATGACGATGATTGTTGAAGATGTCAGAAAAATTCATGCTGATTTATAGGAAAAAGAATATAGAATATATATTTATTAACACAATTTCTTGTTGTTACATAAGCCTGTTGAAGCCTCTGACTTCCAAACTAGAATAAACCTGTATGTCTAGAGTCAGCGCCCTCTTCCATCTTTAATCGTAATTGGAGGTCAATAATATTACAGAGCATGTTTAACAGAAATAATATTAGAATTTGTTTGTGAAAAAAGAAAATAAAAAAGTAAAATAAAAATTAACTTTAAAAAGAATGTATTACAGAATTATTCTTCTTAAAGAGATCTATTAGACTGTAGAATTTTGAGTCGGTCGATTTTGAGGTTCACACAGACAGACGCTGTGGAGGAACTTTATTTTATTACATATATTGATAATTATATATAACAGATAGAATTTCAACTTACTCTTGTTCAAAGTCCTACACAATTTCGCATAAGAGTACGCTTCGGCCGGCTCCATCATTAGTATCGTTAAACCTTCTTTATTGGCGCGGGCCGTTCTACCGCTGCGATGGACATAGTTCTGTTGAAACATATTATAACATTTAAAAACATTTGTAAAGCATTAATAATTATAAATTAAAAATAAAAAAAACCCTACGCAAATTGTCATTTAACGATTACACTGGCACCCGTGTAACACTTAATTGAGTAATCATACGCCAAAATGCCTTACATCATTTTGGAAAAGAGCTGATTCTCTTACACTGCTGGACCGATATTAACCAAACATAGCTAAGAACCACCGCAAGAAAACTGGCTTTCAAATGAAAAAAAAACCCCATCGAAATTGGTCCATCCGTTTGAGAGCTACGATGCCACAGACAGACACACACACAGGCAGACATCGACGTCAAACTTATAACACCCCTCTTTTTGCGTCGGGGGTTAATAAAATAAATAAAATACTCTTCTTTGTACACTTTATAAAAAAAAACAAACATAGCAAAAATAATACATAAATAATAAATGTACAGCAGACAGGAGGTTAATACTAGAGATGAAACGGATATCTGGTATACGGCCTTATTTTGCTATCTGGCCGGATACCGGATACTTAACTACGATTTTGCAAGAAAAAATATCCGTGATGTAAATAATACAAATTATCTTGTAAAGGCAGCAATGTGTTGAAAGGTTAAGGACACTAGTTAATACACATTATTATCGATACAGAGGCCGAATCCATAATTTTTAGAATTTTTGTCTGTCTGTCTGTCTGTCTGTTACCGCATCACAGAAAAACCACTGGAGGGATTTTGATGAAATTTGGTATGGTGATAGCTGGCTATACGGGTCAACTTATAGGATACCTTTTCGGTTTAAAGATGCTTTATTTATTTCTCAAAAGAATAACATTCACTTAATGAGAAAAAATTACAAGTAGGTAGTTGAATATTATTTACATCGTGAACAACTTAATACAAAACAGAAAAAAAAAAGTTATAGGTATAGAAACATCAAATATGAGTTCATTAGGTAATAGGATTAATACAAAAAATTATATTTAGTCAAACAACATCATTTTTACATAATGATGTTTTTTTACCGCACGAAAATGTCTCATTTCTGAGAAAAAAATACAAAAACAGCAATGTAAGAGTATGCTAATATGTAAAACCTAAGAATTTGGTTTTTGGTCATCTGAACGCAGGTCGAGCCGCAGGCAAAAAAAGGCTAGTAAGCTATATTATGCTACAATAACGTTCTAAAGCTAGCAAAAGGTAGTAAAATGACCGTTTACAAACAAACCTCAGCAGTTTTAGGCACTTGATAATGTATGACGTGGTCCACATCTGGTATATCCAGCCCTCGGGCTGCCACGTCCGTAGCCACGAGCACACCGTACGGGTCGTCTCTAAATCTAGATTTTTGTAAACATAGTGTTAATAACAGAAAAATCAATTAAATGAATATAGAAAGAAAATTATATAGAATAGAACAAATAAAATTTAAAAAAAAATAGTAAAAAAATGGAAAAGATATATATTTTTAAACCGATTATATCATATATAGTGGAGATAAGAGATAAATATTAATAAATACTATAAAAACAAAAAAAGTCGACAATAGTACACAAATTATTAGCAAGAATTTTTTACATTATTTTATACAGATTTTACATTATATCAAATTAAGAGTATACTTAAATATTATGATTTTTTTTGTTTTTTTTAGCAAGTACCTTTCAAGATTCTTCAATCTTTGTCGTTGCGGCATACTCGCGTGCAACGGTAGTGGATGACATTTCAATAATGTTAATAACTGAGCTAATCTGGAAAATAAGAATATAGATTAAAAACAAAATAATAGAAATTTTTTTTTAAAAAAAACTGCATCAACGCAAGGACCAAACAAATGTTACAAACGCTAAAAGCATTTTTCTTCATAAGCGCGTAATAATCTAATATATAAATATCTCGAATCACGGTGTTTATTGTCGCACTCCTCCAAAACGGCTCGATCAATTTTAATGTTTTTTTTTGTATATTTGGTAGGTATGAGAATAGGTCGTAAACTATTTTTCACCCTCCTAACACCCACCCATTTTTTAATCGCGATCGTAAGATCGTAAGATCGCGATTAAAAAATGGGTGTGAATATTTTTGTAAGAACAATATTATATAAATACATATGCTGTATAACATTTTTTAGTTAGTAGTTTATTATTAGTTTTTGTAAATTGAACGCGGGCGTAGCCGCGGGTTCTGCTAGTTGTATATATATTCGTTAATATATAAGTAACACATATATATAAATGAAATTGTCGTTTATATACAATTTCAAAACATTACGGTTGGCCTTCTTGTTTATTACAATGACACTCTGTATATATTATTCCTGAGTCTGAAATTTATACTATACCTTCTAACGCTACCGATAGAGTTACAAAACACAATGGCCCGTCCGGGGTGTCTCTTCAATATATAATATAAATAAGCATCTTTTTGATCCAATGAACAAGCTATCCTGCATTCGGTTAAAGTATCTGCTGTACCTAAAAGTATCAAACAAATGACATATTAATATTTTAATATTATATTTTCAAAAGTCAAAATATGTATGTCATGTTGTAAGGCATGACTTTTGTAAAGTCTTATATAAAACTAGAGACGATATAAAACTTAGCTAGTTGCGTTTTAACGTTTAATATAGATTTCTGAGAGATAAGATATTTTACCGCAGTAAAAAGTATCCTATATGTTGACTTGGATAACCAGCTATCATCATACCGAATTTCATCAAAATCTATCCAGGGGTTTTCCCATGAACCTCTTACATTGCAGTTTTTGTATTTTTTCTCAGAAATGAGACATTTTCCCGCGGTAAAAAATATCAGTAAGTATCGGATGATCAGCTATCACCATACCAAATTTCGTCAAATTCCCTCCAGTGGTTTTTCCGTGATGCGGCAACAGACACAGAGACGAAAATTCTAAAAACTATAGATTCGGCCTCTGTGTCGATAATAATGACAATTTCAATAAGTTTTCCAAAAAATATTTAATGTACAGATTCGAATCAGTTACTTTTATTGTACATATGTATAATAAATAACTTTTTTTAATACTTTTTTAGATTTACACGAATATTTGATATTTAAAAAAAAAACTATATTTTCGGATTTTTATGCGGATTTATTTTGATTTTTGGTTCTAGTCTTTGACAGACTGGTCTCTCCCGTGATCATGATTGCTGTAAAATATTAAAAAGGTTGAAAACCAAAAATCAAAATAAATCCGCGAAAAAATCCGAAAGATAGCTTTACTTAAAATAACTTTCTTGACTTCAATAAGTTTCCCAAAAAATACTCCAAAAAATACACCAAAAAAAGAATTATTTAAATGTAATTTTATTCCACTATAGTATAGTATAGTTAGGGTAAAAAAAAATCATTTGATTTTTTTGGGCCCACTCTTGAATTATTATTAAAAAAATAAAATGGAAAGCAATTCAAGAACAGAGAAGATTTAGAAATTTTGATACATACATTTGGATCAAATTTTGTATTTAGATAAGGGTTTGCTTTTTATCTATTTATAGATGTATTTTCTTAAAGAACACAATTTTTATATCTGTTCCAAAAAAACCCGAGCGAAGCTTGATGTGGGATACTATATATACTATATATTTAATATACAACAATATTAAACTAGCATTCTCACCTAAGTTTTGTGTAGTGATGTCCACAACTTTGGGGTCAGTCATACCAATCATGTTGATCAATCTCTTGATTTTTTGCTGCGCTGTCATTTTTTCTATTTTTCGATTTATAATTTTACCTCTTTTTGTCACCTTAAAAGCAACGAATATTTGAAATATATAAAACAAATATTTAAAAAAATATGTATAGAAGTAAAACCGGTCAAGTGCAAGTCGGATTTGCGCACAAAGGGTTCCGTACCATCGTACAAGATATATCACTATGTACTTCATAAACACTTTTGTAAAAGACACATGAAAGGAGATACACACATTTTTTATTTGCATGGTGGCCATTTTGAAATTCGCCATCTTTTATTATTTGTTGTTATAGAGGCAATAGAAATACACACTGTGAATTTCAACTCTCTACCTATTACGGTTCATAAGATACAGGGCGACAGACAGACGGACAACCGAGGCTTAGTAGTAAGGTCCCGTTGGCCTTCGGGTAGTAATAACTAATAATACTGTAATAAACGGCTATTAAACCGGTATCAGTTTTTACAATTTTCCAAATTTTGAACTTTATTTTTCGAAATTAGGTACCTGTATGTGACCTTGAGGTATAACCATATAATATGAATTGAAAATTAAGAATCGATCGAGTCGATTCCAAATTGACACGAAAAAAATACAATATCTTCTTCTTTTTAAAGTCAATTAAATAGAATAATACAGAATAAAAAATATTAAAAAAAAACCTTTTTCCCCTTCATATGTCCAGGCAGATCATGTACCATTGTCAAAGTGGCAGAAAATACGAAATTCTGTCGAGCATTCTTATGAGTTTCTTCTGAATTGAGTCTTTCTAATAAGGGTTCTAATTCTTCAAAGTGACCGCGTTCTATCATACGATCTGTTTCGTCTATTGCTAGGAATCTTGAAACAAAAACACATAATATATGGATTGTTAAAAAAAAATCACATATTTTTATATAAATCGCGGGACACTCGGTAGGAACGAAGATCCTTGTAGATGAAGTACCAACATTGGGGAGCACAAACCTCCAAGAATGTACATTATAAATATATGTAGAGTGCATACGAACTAGTTACTAAATACTAGGTGGAGCAAAAAAAATTTTTTTTAGCTTCGGGGAATTTGTAGTAGTAAAAAAAAAATACTCAAAATTTTAAGGTGGCTCATTGATTTTTAAAATTATTACTTACAATTTTTGGTTTCGATAAAAAAAAATTTTTCAACTTTGAAAACATTCAAGAATTAACGAATATAGTCATTTTCTACCCAACCTTCACGGTAATACTGCATTATTGCAAATATTAAAAAAATTGAAAAAATAAAATGTTACTTTTTTGTATTACACTTAACACTTAAGCTCTCCTTGCACTTGTAATAACATCATATGGGGTGCTCTTGGTAAATAATAAAAAGTGTGGACTATGACCTGATACCCTCGTATTGAAGGGAGGTGCGTGCCCAGCAATGGGACGTTAGTAAATGGCTGAAAACGATGCTTTTCCAATCTATCAGACTTACTTAACAGAGGCCATTTGTTGTAAGTGCGGTTGGCCTTGACCCAACAGCTCCCACAACCTGCCTGGTGTAGCAACAACCACTTCTGGCCCGGACTTCAACACACGTTCCTGCTTCACAGCCGCCATCCCACCCACGATAGTTGCTATTTTGATACCTTGAATCATAAATTATAATATTATCTATCTGTCTGTCTGTTTGTTCTGGCTAATCTCCGAAACGGCTGGACTGATTTTGACGTGACTTTCTCTTTTTATTTTAGAATAAGAATTAGGGTCCCGTTGAAAAAAAATGAAAACGTACCTAGAGACGAACCCGAGTGAAGCGAGGGTAAATCGCTAGTTTAAAATAATAATCTAATCTACAAGCTTTGACAAGATGACATCGTACTAAACCGTAATTTTCAATTTTCTTTTGGCAAAATGTTCAATTTTTTTTAACACTAAGTCTAAGGATCGCGCTTGAATTGGCCACGATCAGCTAGGTCTCTAGAAATATCAAATGACACTGAATATTTTCTGTTTGTGTGTCTGTCTGTTGTTATGATTCTCACAATGTATGAAAATACTATCGACCCACCCTTGCCTTCGGATTCGTCCCTAGACAATAGTAAACCTATCCCACGGGAACCCTACATTTTTCCGGGATAAAAAGTAACTTATGTGCTATTCCAGACTATAATCTATGTCTGTGCCAAATTTGTTGTACAGGCATTGAGTAACAAACATCCATCCAACCTCACAAACTTTCACGTTTATAATAGTAGAATTGTGTGAATACCTTATTTGGTCAAAAATATAATACCAGATTAATTCTTACCAGTATATTTTGCTGCTGCGATTAAATGTCTGCTAATTTGTATGGCCAGCTCTCTTGTTGGAGTTAATATTAGGGCATACAATGGTTTTCCTGTTTTAACCATAACTTGTCCAGGCAAATCTATATTGTCGATGACTTTTACACAGCCAATGCCTAAAAAAAAATATTTTTTTCTTTTGTTAAATAAAACAATATATTTGTGCACTATACATTGATTGCTAAGCTATATACCGTTAAAATACATACAAATATATATACTATTCTTTATTGAACCTAATTGAAATACAAAAATTAACATATGTACAATAAAATCAGTTAGCAAAGATGGACTTATCTCTAGAAGAGATCTTTTCCAATCAACGTAAGTGATATATATATGTTTATTTTTTTTATCTTACCTTGACTACTTTCATCAACTTCATCAACACCATCAGTTTCATCACCTTCATCAATTTCATTGCCAAATTCATCATCTTTTTCACTTTCATCATCAGACTCCACATTATTATCATTATCTACTTCATTTTCACTCTCATCACTTGATTTCACATCATCAGAATCTAGCATATCCGATAGATGTACATAATTTTCGTCATCACTGTCATTGCCTTCATCTGCTGATTCTTCTCTTTTCCTTAAAGGAACAACAATTTCTTCTACAAAATCATCTTCTACATTTTCACTTCTTTGCTTAGTCTCGTTTTCATCACCACTGCTATATCCATCTTCTGATGATTCCTTAATTTCTTCTTTCTTTATCTTTTGCTTTCTATTTTTATTTACTTTCTTCTCTTTCTTTGTATCTATTTCATTCTTTTTGACTGAACTCTTCTTGTATGGTATATCATAAACATCTAAACCTTTTAAAGAAGCCTTTTCTTTAAGTTTCATAATACCAGATAGTATAGGAAGACCAAAAGCTAATGTTTTACCACTACCGGTTTCAGCTGCACCTAAAATATCTCTTCTACCTGCAAACAATAAGTTTTGTAATAAGCGAGTAATATTTTATTAATTATATTATGAGGATAAATTGTATTAATATATTTATATTCATATATTTTTTAAATTTGTGCTTTTAGAGCTATCTATACTAAAATTATAAAGATGCAGAGTTTATTTGTTTGAATGCACTAATCTCAGGAACTACTAATCTGATTTGAAAAGTTCTTTTTGCATTAGATAGCCCATTTATTGAGAAAAATTTTAGGCTTTGTATCATCATGCTACTACCCAAGGAAGCAGTGCAGTAACATAATTTAAAGTCTACCTATTTCATATTAACCCCTAAAATATACCTAGACACAAACCCTAATGTTATGTCTAACACTTAATCAAAGATGTATGAAATTAGTATTTTATTGTAACAAAAACACTTCAGAGGATGTAATTATTAACAATAATATAAAACAATTGTTAAAATATATACCACTTTCATTATTTCTAAATTCTAAGTAATATTTTGCTATCTGTTTACCATGTAAAGCTGCAGGTAATGACAACTGTTGAATTTTGGTTGGGTTTTTAAAACCTAATTCCATTAAAGCTTTTAAAATTTCCTCCGGCAATTTAAATTCTGCCCAAGACAACATATCTTCTGGTGTGAGATCAGATTTTGCAACTAATATATTTTCACCTAATTTTGGTTTCTTAACTTTTTTGTCTATAACTTTCAGCTTATCTTCATCTTTATTTTCTACTACTATATTTTCTTTATTTTTACGGTTCTTCTTCTTATTTTTATTTGGTTTCTTTTTATTTTTACTGAATTTATCTACTTGATTAGTTACAGAAGGTGTAATGTTACTACACGACTCTACAACAAAACCATTGCTAAGTTTAATTTTTTTCTGTGGTACTTCTGTCTTTGGGGCTTGTGAGTTACTTTTCTCAAGCTTTCGTTTTTTAGGTTCAGTATTCTGTAATGTAAAACAAAATAGTCGCTTATCAATGTGAGATTTATTCATTATGTCTTATATGATAAGTACAACTCTATATTCATTTCATATTTGAGTGACATTTATTTAAGTAATACAAATTAATTAGAAAGACAAAAAACTTAAAAACGTTAACTGATTAAAAAATATTCCCAACTACCTTAGATTATACCTATATTATTTTTAAAATCTTTCTATTAAAGTGATAATATCGTGGATTTTTTGCTTTAGGATATAAAAAAAATGTACAGTAATTTTTAGGAAAACATTTAAGTGCATGTATATTGAATCATTCCAAAAACAAGCCTAATCGAAAATCAAAACAACCTACCTTCTTCTTTCTTTTATTATTTTTGTCCGTACCATAGTCTGTACATTCTTCCAAACCTACAAATCCTTGTAAATTGTCAAACGTAGAAGTCGGAACTCCCTCCAATGCAACTGATTGCCAATTTAAAGAATTGATTTTCTTCGACATTTTAGTCAAAACTCAAAAGTTCTTTAACCTAAAACCTTAAAAACTCAAATGTATAAATTGCATGCAATGTGTTTTTGACATAAGTCAGAAATACAATGAATGATTGTCTATTTGACATTTTTTTTAGCTTAATTTTTCGGAACAAAGTCACAGAATACTTTTACTCACAGAGAACCAAGTTGAAAATATAATTCATACCATGAAGGATAAATTGCAAATAAATGATTAAATTGAGGTTTACAAAATGGACGATAAAAAAAATGCTTCATACTACTGATATTCGTAAATATCTGTACAATGGGGAAAACTTGTTTTTTTTTCTCCGCCAGATGTCGGGATCACTATAGTCCTCAGTATAATGTAAAGCTCTATAGCGTGAAGGGAGTTTCGTTCATTTTATTTAAAATTTAATTAAAATTACAAATTGTGCAGTGCCAGGATGCCAAAAAATTGTGGGCTAAAGCAATAAGATGATAAAAATTGGCGAAATCATAATCTTTATATTTAAGGCTATGTGGACATCATTTTAAAGAAAGTGATTTTAAAACTCTTGAATCGTCTACAGGTGTTTTTTTGTTATTTTTTTACTTTTTTACATATATACAGTTTCATACAAACTTTCATCCCCATTTTACCTCCTTATAGGATTGAATTTTAAAAAATGCTAAAAGATATATTTATTTAATTGTATTAAAGAGCATTAATACCAAGTTTCAAGTAATTCTGATCACAAATGATTTTTTGCCCAGATAAACCTTATCACCCCCTTTTATCTTTTTAAGGGATGAATTTCGAAAAAAAATCAAACAAAAATAAAACTAAACACCACTTTCTGTGTATTTCATATTAAGAGTGACAGAGTTTCGTAAAATTTTTAAATCCCCTATTTTACCTACTTAGAATGAATTTCGAAAAATCCTTTCTTACCAGATGCCTACATCATACAAGGAATACGTCCTCCAAATTTCACGTTTCTATGACCAGCGGCTTAGACTGTATGTTGATACATAACATCAGTCAGTCAGGACTCAGGACCACCGCAGGATACATCTCTCTTCTCAATTCTTCCTTCAGCTGGTCTAATAGGTTAACATTGCACAGGTAAGATGCGAACGTAATAGAAGCAAAAACAAACCGTTTTTGCTCAAAGAGATGTCACAATATATTGCTTAATCTCAGATTGAATGTAAATAGGACATATGTGTGGCGCCCTTCCTTTCCTTCTCTTCCTTTCGATAAATCTTCCCCATTACTATTCAAAATAGAGTTAACGTTACTAAAATCTCTATAGGCAATATCAAAAAAAACTCAGTAAACTAATCAAATACCTATATAAATTTTAAATTTTCTCTGAATTATTTTTTCCCCTGATTGTTTCATTTCATAACTTTTCTGCTTGCAAGATTTAAAAAAAAATGAAAACAATGTTTAATAGTTACTTAGTATTTACAAGATGTAGAATAATTATAACAAAAATTCTTTTAACTTAAATGTAACTATAAATAAATAAGTTTTAGATTAATTTATAAAAAAAAAACGTTCAACTTTTTAAAGTATTTATTGTACTTGATGGCTGATGTTCTTTGCTTAATTAGTACGCGTGGTTTAAAAAAGTAAATAGCACGCTGCCGCCGTAACCATAGACAAACTGGGGGAGGAAGTTTGTGAGTGATCGATTTTACACCGGCCTGTACAAAACTTCTCAACGGCAATTCTCTTTGTTTGCCGTACGCGTGCATAATATCCAAACAAAAGCATCGAGTTTGTGGAGCGTACTGAAAATGGCGAACACGTTTCGCGGTGTGACGGTGTCGGCCGTCAACAATGACGGTGCTTTAACTCCGCGCTTCAACTTTCCTACGAACGTAAACGTGGATTACGACCCGCAAGGTCTAAGTGTTAAAGTGATACGTGCTGATCCCGTGCTAGCCCAGGAGGTGCTAGAGTTCCCCGTCCACAATCTAAGCGAGTGCTCCCGAGTCGCCGGTCAATCTTACATTTTTACGATAGATAATGAGACATTGTTTTTTAAATTCACCTCTGATGTTGACTGTCAAAACTTCCATTTGCTGGTTAGCAAGATTAAGGCGGGCAGATCGTCGTCTGTGTTCACGGTACGCACGGAGGATTCCTCGGCGATGCAATATTTCCAGTTTTATGGATACTTAAGTCAACAGCAGAACATGATGCAAGATTATGTGAGAACGAGCACCTATCAACGTGCTATATTATCTAACATTAATGATTTCAAGAATAAAGTTATTTTGGATGTTGGAGCTGGGTCTGGTATTTTGTCTTTTTTCGCGGCTCAAGCAGGAGCCCGTAAGGTTTACGCTGTTGAAGCAAGCAATATGGCGCATCATGCTCAAGCTTTAGTTCGCGCTAACAGTCTCCAAGACCGCATCACAGTTATAGCGGGAAAAATAGAAGAAATAGAGCTTCCTGAAAGTGTGGATGTAATTATTTCTGAGCCCATGGGATACATGTTGTACAACGAACGTATGTTAGAAACCTATTTACATGCAAAGAAATGGCTCAAACCTAGTGGTAATATGTATCCCACTCGTGGAGACTTACATATAGCACCCTTCACAGATGATGCATTATTTATGGAACAATATAACAAAGCTAACTTTTGGTACCAGGCTTGTTTCCATGGAGTGGATCTAAGTGCACTTCGTACAGCTGCCATGAAAGAATACTTTAGGCAGCCTATTGTAGATACATTTGATGTTCGCATTTGTATGGCAAGATCAGTCAGACATGTTGTAGACTTTTTAAATGCTAATGAAACTGATTTACATCGCATTGAGGTACCATTCAGATTTGAACTGACACAATCAGGAACTTGTCATGGCTTAGCATTCTGGTTTGATGTACTATTTGCAGGCAGCACACAGCATATATGGTTATCTACAGCACCTACAGAACCTCTCACACATTGGTACCAAGTTAGGTGCCTTCTTGAAACTCCAATTTTTGCTAAACAAGGCCAAGCTTTAACTGGCCGTGTGCTTTTATTAGCTAATAAGCGACAAAGTTATGATGTAACTATGGATATCAATTTGGAGGGAACAAATATTTCTTCTTCAAATACATTAGATTTAAAGAATCCATACTTTAGATATACTGGGGCACCAGCAGCTCCTCCCCCAGGAGTGAACACAACTTCACCGAGCGAGTCATACTGGAACTCTATTGAGTCAGCCGGCTCCTTGAGTAATGGTCAAGGAGTAATCTTGACTGATGCTACACAGCAATACTGCTCTACACCTGATCAAACTATAGCATATGGTGCCCATCCAAATATGCTTAAAACAGTAATGCTGCAAGAAGAATTCATCAAGAGGATTGGGATTAGTCAAAATGGCGACATATAATCCGCAAAGTCGCGCCGAGCGCGTCTTAGGGCTATAAGGAACCGTCGCAATCGGTTGTGAACAATCTTCCGTTCAAACTTTATAGTGTGTAAGCGGACTTATTTATTAATGAAACATCACAGTGGACTGCTGTTAAATCGTGTAATTGGTAGATGAGGAGTCGCCTCAAAACAATTAGGTGTAAATGAACACAGTAATATTCTCGCATGGGTAGTTTCTGAATTGTAATTAATAAAGAACATTTGCCTATCACCTTTTGGGTGTTTCGTTCTCAGTTTGTATGACGCTTACTAGTGTAATTTGGATATTCGCATTGACAATTTGACTTTTTTTTTTGTAAATATGTCCCATACACATTGACATGGTGGAATCAGCCAATTTATTACTGCGAGAGCTTCGGCAGCTCTGTAGTTTAAGTAATTTAGAAGTTCAAGTACACTTAGTATAAGCAATAAACTAATAATGATAATGCTTACTTAATACTCATTTATCATTATTAGAAATGTATTGAAGATAAGTAAATCAATGAAAAAACACCAGTGATTTTTGTATGTAACTGTCAGAATTGTGTTTTATATAATGATGATTTCTGTCTGCCAATCAGAATAGGGATTGTGAATTTACTGACGAAGAATTAGTAATTGTATTTTTTTTTATTATTTTCCAATTTACGACTGCATTTTTTGAGACCAAGTAATTAATTGTATGAACCCGCCATGAGTAATTTTGGTTTTAAAGAATGCAATTTTGAATTGAGACAAATGTATCATTAGATATACAATTTTGTTTATGTAAATATTAAGGTAGGTTCTGTAGGGATGCTATGTTTTGATTGAAATCCACTATTTCTTTTGATTACAATTGGTTTGCGTTTGGTAATTGTAAATCAATGTCACTTACGTTGCTTATTATTGAAAATTACTTGTGAATGTATCAATTTTGTTCTATTATTTTTGAAGGCTGTCTGGATTTCTTCAAACATAGTTTATAGTAGGTGAGCCCAAGAGAGTTTTTTGGAGTTACTCAAGCGCGGTAGATAACATAAGGGGGGATTGATGCCTTCCGATAATCAAAAATAATTTGCCAATTTCCACAAGCTGAAGGAGCAAAAATCGTACAATTTGCCTTTTTGGCTTGTGCGAACCGGCAGATAATTGAATTGCACACTTTTCAGGATGTAATTAGCCCACCACACCTTAATCTGATAGCTTCAAGTATTTCTACATTATCAAAATATTTTTTAAATATCAAAATATTTTGGCTGCCCTAGACGCGCCCCCTTAAATAGAGGACTATATATTATGGTGGAGGTACTCAACAGAGTGCTAGGCAGGCAAGCATAAGGGGGGATCACCCTATGTTAATCTGCCGCGCTTGAGTAACTCCAAAAATCCCCTCTTGGGCTCCCCTACTATTATAAATGAAAGCCCAATTAAAATTTCTTTCTATTAATTGAAAAATGTCACATTGTTAAAAAAGAAACAAGATGTTATAATTACTTATGAGCTTTTCTTGTCTTCTCAAGTCTACGTGACATTGGCGAAGTAATCTGTGCTCAACTGGCACGCTTTGAAGCCATTAATAAGAAAATTAAATTGAGTACATATGGGTATATGGACCCAGATAGTCATTAAATTCAATTTTTAAAACCGAATGTACTCGGCATATTTGTGTTGCTATCAACACTTTGAATTTTAAATACTTAATTGACAACCGTAAATAATTCTTATGGACTTAGTAAATAAGACTTACATTTGAATTTATTCTATTATCATGTATTAATAAATAGTTTAAATTTTCAATCACAATAAAACTTATCCCATCAAGTATTAATAGGTTCTAGTAAATGCCTTATTTGCACTTAAATGAGTGTGTCAACAGACAGACAAGCGAGCAGGGCTAGAATTAGAAGTAGGGCGAGCCCCTAATATTATTGCAAAGGAATTAAAAAAATTTTTTTTTGCTAAATATATGGAACTATCTAAAATTATTTAGCAAACGATACATTATTTTGTCTGGGGGTACCATGGCTGGTTTGTTCCCTTTAAATCTGGCTCTGCAAGCAAGCCTTTGTTATATATAGTTTCCTAAACTACCTCAATTGGCAGACGGAATGGTAATGGGTATTCCATGACATGTGGGACTGCCAGAGCTGTGAAATCTTGTTTGGCACTTAGCAAATGGAACGCCTGAAACCGTTGATGGAATAATTGGATAAGCAATATGTTTGGATTCTAATGAATAAACAAATTTTGTCACAATCTATGTTTTTTTACCTTTCTTTACCTTTTTAATAACAAATTATAATCACAAAGTGTAGTCAATATTTAAAATGTGTATGTCACTAATATTATAAATGTGAAAGTTTTAAGGATGGATGGATAGACGTTCCTTACTTTTTATCCCGGAAAAATGTTCCCGTGGGATAGATTTGTTTTTGTCTAGGGACGAAGCAAGGGTGCGTCGCTAGTCGTATATTCTTAGAGGTTGACCTCTAAAAATTAAGTAAACGTAGAATATGTATTACATTTGAATATAATACACATTCAATGTTTTAATTTTCCTTGGAAAAGGAATGACCCTGACAACTAATAAAATTAAACAATTAATAGAATCTTTTAACATTTTTTTGAAAGTTAATTCTTTGACATTTATTCATTATCTTCATGAGGAAAAAGGAATAAATAAAAAACAAGTTTTATGTAGAACTTTCTAATAATACAAGTAAATAACATTTTCAAAGCTTACTAGATATTTTTAAGTATTGGAATCATGCATTTTAAGCCTAGATCAATTAAAAAAGAATATCACAAAAATATAATTTTAGGGGAAATTTTCAAGTAAAACAAGTATGGATATATAAGAAATAAATACTTATGACAATTAATACATATTAAAAAGCTATAACACAAAGTTAAGTAGGATAAAGGCACATCTATATAATAATTTTCATATGTTCAAAAATAATGTTGATCAATTGGTTTATTTTTGTTTTAATTAGACTCGTCGATTTAAAAAGTACTAGATACACAATCCCACGCAAAAGTTATCTTAAAACTGTCACCAATTGTATTTAGGTAATTATTCTAGTTGAAATAAATATATAACAATATAAATTGAACCTTAAACGCAATGCTTAAAGTTGTTATCACAAATAATAAATAAAAGCTCGCTCAACTGTTCAAATGAGCGCTCATTCGATGACGACATTTATTGTCGCTGAGTGTACCTAGTATTTTTTTATCGATGTACCTAGATACTACAAAAAATATATCTAGTACTAAAGTACAATATATAGTCACGAAAATTTTGGAGTTGTGCCGTTTTACCATTAATTTATATTATTATCAAATTTTAAGATAGAATTATAATGATCCAAAGTGAAAAGGGTCTAACTGAGAAAATTTTAGCCATTAGGTCAGTTTCAAACATTCAAGTACATTTGGTATTGTGTCACTTTTGTGTTTACACAACATTCTTAATAGATTTAGTTTCTTTTCATGTGTTTTAGAAGATTCTAGTTCATATAATGTGCATAAGTTAATAAGAAGACTTTCATTAAGACCACGTTCTGGGTCAGAATGTATGGCTTTCTGAAGAACTGAAATAGCTTCTTTTAAACGACCCATATAGAGAAGACAAACTGCTAGATTATTTGCTACCTGCAATGAAAATTATTATTATTAATTATTAACTTTTTTTTATTATGAAGTATCTCACGATGACCACTCGATATATTGGTAAAAAAGAAACCTATATGTTAATAAGTAATGATAACCCAATAGAAGCACGTCCGTTTTGGCAAAGTGAAGCGGGTTCAAATTCCGCATCTCACACTTTTGAGATTATCTTGGCCAATCTTATTTTAAACTTTAATAATGACCATCTGCTAAATAAGTTTTCCGAAAATCTTGTTATGTACCTATATGACATAGTCAATGGGAATGTCTACTCACCATAATATTAGTGGGCTCTTGATCAGCTGCCCTGGCAAAGTTATTGTACGCGTCTTGATATTTCCCATGGGCGATGTCGATGAGACCAAGATCTACATATTCTCTTACATCGGGCGTTGGACATCTGTTGATATCATAATAATTACGTATTTAAAGTTTAAGTTTCAAAATCAGTTTAAAATTGATTAAATATATGTGATATATAGAGAATAGTTGAGGCATTTATTAAAAAAACGGTTTCAATTGTCGAAAATGTCGTACCTAACAAAATTATAAAAGAACATACACCTAAAATGCACACCTACCCCTAATTTAATGTTGGTCAATTAAGTTAATTACAAGTTTCGTAGTAAATTCTTGTAATATATACATATAATATAATTGGAATCACATGACGTGCCGAGATAAATACGATATGGTTTTCTATACTATAATTAATACCAACTTCGCTCGGTTGCGTCCCTAAGTACGTTATATATTTTTTGAGCGGAACCCTAATTTTTTTTCTAAAAGAAATGTAGTTACTACTTATAACATCAGCTATCTGCCAGTGAAAGCCCCGTCAAAATCAATCTATCCGTTTCAGAGATTAGCCGGAACAAATAGACAGACAAAAATTAAAAAAAATATATATTTTTTACAATTACCGTATATAATTTTATGTGCATTTATTAAAAAGCTTTTATTACGACAGTACAAACAGACACTTCCATTTTATTTTATCTGTAGGTATAGATAAACTAACGATGCAAAAATCACTTTATTCCGTAGCTCTCCAACCACGATTATTAATACCTATCACGTACACGTTATTTTGTTTTATATCTTTCTTAGATTTACTCGAATAATATTTTAAATAAAATAAAACTATCATTTCGGATTTTTTCGCGGATTTATTTCGATTTTTGATTCCCAAACCAACCAAAAATAAAAAAAAAATCGCAAAAATATCCGAAAAGACAGTTTTTTATTTTATTTGAAATTTTATTTTAATTAATTAATTTATATCTTTTTGAATAGTGTAGAAGTCTTCGTGCTAAGCAAACTTAATTAAATCGTAAGGTAGAACGCTACTTGAGCACAAAATTCCTTAGACAGGGTCATACGGAGCAAGGTCATATCAAAGAAACGAGTATGAAAACAGTAGAAAATGTCATATAAATATTTTTGAAGTTATATTTCTTTTGGCACGTTTGGAAAAAAATATGAGAGTAAAATTTTTACGATGCGCGCGCACACCGACAGCCAAAAAGCGACATGATGAAGTTAGGTGCATTCCTCTTACAAACAGAGACTTGTGACATCAAGCGCGGATCCAGGGGGGGGGGGGTCATGGGGGTCATGACCCCCGGACAAACACCCAATCCCCGGACGGATAAACATTTCGATTTAAAAAAAATGGTTATTATATGTATTTTGAAGATTATATTCCCCTAGTTTCATGAATATCAAAAAGTTTTTGCAGAAATCTATATACATAATCGTTGGCTCACTATTACAAGGTTCTATGTTAATTTTAATGAAGTTTAGTAATTTTTACATAGAACTTCGTTATTTTGTTACCGTATAAAAAAAACAACATAGAACTATGTAAAATTGAATATTTTGTAGTTATAGTGCCGCTATCTAGTGGTTTGTTTCTGCAAAACTGTAGCTAATGACACATAGAACCTTGCAGCATTAATAACGAAATAAGTACTAAAATTGTAACATAGAACCTTGTAATAAGGAGCCAACGAATTATAATAAAATTGTAACTAAGTCGAATCTGTACATTAAACATTTTTTTGGAAAATCTAATTGAATCTAATTGACATTATTATCGATACAGAGGCCGAATCTATAGTTTTTAGAATTTTTCTCTGACTGTCTGTCTGTTACCGCATCACGAGAAAACCACTGGACAGATTTTGATGAAATTTATATAAAGAATATTTTTCGATAAGATGTCACAACAAGCCAGAAATTAAAAAAAACCTATTTTTCAACGTTTTTTGTTCCTTATATACCTGCTAAAGTATTAAAGCCATACAACCCCCAACCCAAATAGAAAATTAGATCCGCGCCCGGTGTTCAGATTTTCCTAAGTTACTGTTTTATTATATGTATATTTCAGCCTATGACCCCCCCCAAAATTTAACTCTGGATCCGCGCCTGTGTGACATAAGGGATGAAATCTTTAGCTATTTTTACTCTGTCACACCAAAGTAAAACTTCTTACGTGCGTACATAAGTAAACACACGTTTTTTTTTAAATAAAAAGGTACATTGACCCTAAAAGTATTCACTGGTCCAGTGTTTATTCTACCCTTAAGGTTGGTATTTTTATGATGTTGGTTTAAAAAAGTATATTACATACTATATTCTTCTACGAAAAAAAATACTAATTACATGTATGTATGTATGTATGTATGTATGTATGTATGTATGTATGTATGTATGTATGTATGTATGTATGTATGTATGTATGTATGTATGTATGTATGTATGTATGTATGGTAGTCATTCAATGTGTCACTTGTCGGCTTTTGTGATATTAAATATTGCTCAGTTAAGAAAGCTAAGACAAAAGTGGTGTCTTGGCTCGCTACTTTAACGTATGATGCTACAGAAAAAAATATTTATGATATATCGTAATCGGCTTCTTCAATTATCTTAACTGTGCAACTGTGTAGATATATATTATGTTCATATTAATTAAGCTTTTGTTTTTTCTTTTTTTTCATGCACTTATTGTAAATGCAAAATGAAACAAGCAATACTTTTATTTTTATAGTTTTTACATATTTCTTTGTCATAATAATAACTTTTACTAGCATTGTTAACCGAGCAACAATATTTTATTTGTAAATCAAATTGTGGTACTCACGATACAGGCTTTGCCTAGTGTGAGTTTATTTAAACTAAGTATTAAAAAACCAAATATAAAAAAACGTTTGCTATAAAAACAATTTTTTTTATTGAATTTTACAATCGATCAAAAAAGTACTAAATACCTAATTAGCGACAAAAAATGTCCTCACCGAATGAGCGCTCATTTGAACATTTGAGCGCGCTTTTAATTTTTTTTGTGAAAACAACTTTAAGCATCGCATATAAGGTTCAATTTACATTGTAGTACATTTATGTTAACTAGAATAATTACTTAAACACAATTGGTGACAGATTTAAGAGAAGTTTTGCATGGGATTGTGTATCTAATAGTTTTTTAATCTATATATTCTACACAGAATATCGTATCCTCATATACCTAACAAACACTTATTATGATTTCTTTTACTATCATCGCTACTTGCACGAAATTTCCAAACTTGATTTAAATGTAATAAATAACGCCAATATATCTTTTACACGTCTAGAATAGATAAAGAATTTCTCGCAAGATTAGCACATAAGAACAAAAACTTAAAAAGAATACGAAAACAATAAAATCTACTCACATATGGTTCCTAAAGTCTTTAGCCCTATTGCAATAGTCCACCGCGGCACGCACGTGTCCCGCGAGCAACGCCACGCGGCAGAGTGCACTCAACAAGGCTCTCTGCTGCTGAGGAGTACTCGAATGTTCTATTAAAGAAGTTAGAATCTTTGCTGCTAGACGGTAATCCTGGTGGAAAAGAAGAAGAAAAAGAGAAGATAAAAATGCATTATTTTCTGTGAACTGTAACAAAAAAAACCCGTTTTGGTGAATCTACGGGTGGATTTTTTTCTGATTTAAATCCCATTAATATTATAAATGCGAAAGTTTGGATGGATGGATGTTTGTTACTCAATTACGCCAGAACGGCTGAACAGATCTGGATGAAATTTGGCTCAGAGATAGATTATAGTCTTTTATCCCGGAAAAATGTACGGTTCCCGAGGGATAGGTTTGTTTTCGTCTAGGGACAAATCCGAAGCGAAGCGAAAATGAATCGCTAGTATAATATAAATAAAAAAAATCAATAAAACAAACATTACCTTCAACGCAATGGCACAGTTGACCACCGAATGTAGAACTCTAGTGCGTCGCCCACTCCATAAGCGCAATGACTCGTTCTTATCTTCTGTAGATATATTTATAGATCCATCTTCACTTTTACCCTCATTTAGATTTGCAATCATCTAATTTAAAACAATCAAAAATATAATATAACGTTCCTCATAATATTAAATGAGCAATTCTTGTATATTTATATATAAATTTATTTCGTATATCTCGGAAACGGCTCTAAGGATTTGGATTAAATCACATCACACACAATCACATTTTAGAATTAAACATTTTAAATATTACTATCCATCCTTTCGTATTTTATCGCGGATTTTTTGTGATTTTTGGTTACCGACGTTACGAATGCTTTACAGCAATCTGGAGAAACTAAAAACCCAATTTATTTCACACTATTTAATCACGTTAAATTCTAAATTTGTGGTAAAACAACCACCTATTTTATAATATGTAAAAACAATGAAAACAAACCTGCTGTATAACATCAAGCATTGCATACAGCCTGTCCATGGCATCCTCAGGCTTGCCCACGTGCATTGGCAGTTCGGAGATGAGAAGCCTCAATGAAAACGGCACTAGACTACCAGTTCGATTCTCATATGCATCTGGATAGAACTGAAAAAGTTATAGATAATTAAGTATTTTATTCAGCCCGTTTTAGGGCCGCTCCGCATTATAATGCCGATCACAGTCCGTTCTCGGTCCGATATCGGTCTGAACGTGATACAAGAAACAATGTGTGCATTCACACTATCAGTAAGACTCACGTTTCGGTCGAACCACGCTCCAGCAACGTTTCTTGTATAAAACTATTTTACTAGACTGATATCGAACCGAAAACGGACTGTGATCGGCACTATAGTGTGGAGCGGCCCTTAATGTTTCACTGCTGGGCACGGGCCTCCATTTAATGCGAAGGATCAGGCCATAGTCAACCACATGTCTTATGTAAACTTTCTATGTTCTCTCGGTCATGCAGGTTTATCACGATGTTTTCCTTCACCGTGAGACAAGTGGTAATAATGTTGAAAATGATTCGCATATGAAAATATCACAGTGGCGAGACTCGGAATTTGAACCCGCTTCATTCGGTTTTCCAAGCGTGCTTCGTTACCACTGGGCTTGCCACTGCCTTCATGTAAATTGTTACTAAATCCTGCCCTACTTTGGCTACTTGTATATCTATTTTCTATTCTATAAACAAAATACAGTACAAAATATAATGGACCTAATCAAAACAGTTCGGTTTGGAATTTATAACTTCTTAAGTTTTGAAAATGTTTATCTATAGTAGAAATACCAAATAACATAATTAATCTATACAGATAAATAAAATTGAAATATCTGTTTGTAATATTAAAATAACAGCATTGTACTAAATGCATAATGAAAGTATATTATACGGTACTAATAAGAAAAATATCTGTCTGTTTGTTCCGGGTAATCTCTGGAACAGCTGGACCGATTTTGACAGGACTCTCACTGGCAGATAGCTGACGTTATAAGGAGTATCTTAGGCTACTTTTAATTTAAGAAAAAGAATCAGAGTTCCGCGCAAAAAAATTAAAACCCATGAAATTGTGAACGAAATGCGCATACTTGGACGCACCTGAGCGAAGAGAGGGTCTCTAGTGGCATAATATAATAGATATACAAATCTACTGTACTGTCTGTTTATTGAACAATAACAATCTAAAGAAATTTAATTAATAAACTGGTTATTTCTTAGTGTTCATGTGTTAATTAAAATACAAATATATTTTACAGACATCTGTAACCTTGTTTATTAACAATAGAGAATTACATATAAGTACTTATTTTTTTTATACTTAAACTTGTTACAGAATATTAAATATAATAAGTTTTTGTGTTATTATGTAAAAGTTATTCTATTGTTTTGAACAATCGAAAAAGGGTAAGCTGAGGATCTAAGGAGAATTAGTGATTCCTAGAAAACTAATATTTCTATTTTAAGCAATAAACAATATACATATATACGACTAGCAGGACCCGCGGCTTCGCTTGTATTAAACTATAAAAAACTTCTAAAAATACAAACTTTCATCCCCTTTTTTAACTTTGGGCTGTTATAACGTGTTTTCCCGCGGGAATTAAATTATCTCCCGCGGTAAAAATAGCCTGTGTCACTCTTTAGCCCTCCAAGTATCTCCATCCACACAAATAATCACGCCAGTCCATCACTCTGTTTCGATGTGAAAGAAGGACAAACAAACACACTTTCACATTAACTGTACTATTTATCATATAGTATATAATAATTTACCTGATAAAACATATCTGGCTTGCTAAAATCCCCAAAAGGTTCGGACTCCTTCAACAGTGGTTCATATAGTTTGATACGGCACATTACTGCGAACCGAGTAAGCCAAAGTTGTAGCGATCTTGGCGTATGCTTCGTTGGTCTGTGCATACGACCTGCCCCTGAGAAATAATATCAATAGTTATGAGTACCTTTTTTCTATATACTAACATCCCACGCGAAACCACTTGACTGCTGGGCACGGGCCTCTCTCCAATACGAGGGGGATCAGGCCATAGTCCACGCTGGACAAGTGCGGGCGGACTGAGCATGTCTTTCGAAAACTTGTTAGGTTCTTTCAGACATGCAGGTTTCCTCACGATGTTTTCCTTCACCATAAGGTAAGTGGTAATCATGTTAGAAATGATTCGCACATGAAAATATCAGAGATGCGAGACCCGGGATTTGAACCAGCTTCACTCGGATTCCCAAGCGAGCACGTTACCACTGGGCTAGCACTGGCTCGAAATTAACAAAAACAATTTCATATTTACAATATTAGTTTCCTTGCCTAACAAAAAGTTCTCAGCCTTGAATTTTACTTAAAAAAAATTAAATTATCTTGTTAGGGCTACAATTATAGCATAAATAAATAACACTACTATATATATACTGTTTGTTTGTTTGTTTGTTTGTTTGAACGCGCTAATCTTAGGAACTACTAATCCGATTTGAAAAATTCTTTTTGCATTAGATTGAGGAAGGCTTATAGGCTATCCCCCCCAACGTGCGTTCACCTTGTCGTGGTGGGGGGGCTCAGTAGTGCCCGGCAATACAGCCGGGCGCGAAGCCAAGAAACGCACAGGGAGGTGGCCTATTTCGGTGGGCGGTGAGAGGTGGCCCTCTTCGGAGGGCGGTGTATCATGCGGGTTGCTCCTGGTACTTCTCTGATAGCAGAGTGGACTTTGGAGCAACCCCATGGTCGTTATGGTCTGCCTCGGCAGACCTGCCGTCGGGGCGTCGTAGTTGAATGCGTAAGCGATCCTGCGACGCCCCATTAAGACGGGGGAAAGCTTTGTTGGGTTTTAGTGGGTAGTACTGGCTTTGCCGGTGAGTCCCACACCTCGTGCGTAAATGCATTTCCCAACGTTAAAAAAAAAAGATAACTAAACTACTATTAGTAAAAATCCAGCCATAAATGTAAGCAAAACACATGGTAATTTTCTAAATCAGGCTGCTACTGATTATTTAATGGCAGAAAAATCATTAACTACATATATAGTCCCAACAAATGAAGTAATTAAAGAATAAATACAAAAATAACAAACTCACCCTGTCCAGCGGCACTAATCAAAGTAGCAGTCAAATTAACAGCAGCCCTCAAATACCCCGTACGTAGTAATTCACGTAACCCTGCTTCATCCCTACTAACATGCTCCGCTCTGACCACCCCCCGGCTTCCTGCTGAGCTCACTCCAAGGTACTTCACTGCTACTTCTTGTAACGCATCTGCCTGTATACAAAAATTAATTCAATACATTAATTTCATAAATGTGAGATAATTTTTGGATGTGTATACCTCAATAATGTGTAAATGGTCTAACAGAATTAGAAGAAACTTACTAAAACACCGAGGGTATTGTTTTTATTGTCTGGCAACACTAATAAATCTGCTGAATTCTCTCTTAAAATACTTTACTGCCACTACACACCTTTACATTTATTAATTCAATTTTTACTTATTTTTATTCCTATAAAATTGATTTAATTTTCTCAAAGGTCTTGTTCTAAAGGGCTAACAACTAAAATGCTACAAGTATTTTGAAATATGACACTTTATTAGCAATTTTTTTTGTTACATACTTTATGTCTAGTTAAAATTAGCCAAATAATAATAAAAGTAGCCTAGTGTAATTAACGAAAATACATCCATCTATCTCAATCCAATTTCACTTAAATCTATTGAATCATTATGGTTTGAAGGAGTAATTAAACAATCATTTATTTAATAATAATATTTTGATTATTAAAGTCTATATTTACCAATTCCTCTTCAAGCACTAAGCCTGGCATTGTAAGAACTTCTCTTTCTGGAAAAAATGAACCCTTAGGTGATGATTGTGCCTGGAAATAAAACAAATATATTATTCATATTTCATATACATGTCATAAGTCTAAAATCTAAAAACTAAATGAACTTTCAGATTAGTAATAGTAAGTTTAATCTGAATTGATAGGAACAAGACTTTAAAAATTAACACTTGTCAATCTACATCTAAAATGTAATAGAAACAAAATAAAATATCTGTTGAAATTTTGAATTTGCGGTGTTAGTTTTAAGAAAAGTTGCCTGTCTGTGTATCACTCAGCAAACATTGGTTTGTTATATGTATACCCATACATTTGGTCTAGACTTAATCAAATTTTTGATGAATGTCTCATTTTATGATCGCAGCAGCAGAACAATGGAATTATATAAATTTGGGTCAATTTTGAAACTGTTAACCTATAAAAATGCAAATATACCATTCTGCTAGTTTATTTGATGTATTTAACATTTTTTTAATCTTACAGTAAATAAAGAATTTTATCTAATTTCTTAAATCCCTAAGCAATGATAAATTTTACATGGGTGACTAGGCACTATTGTTTAAAGCAGAAGTTTTCATTTGCCATTGTGGACTTGCTATATTCATAACAGCTTCTGAAATAAGTCTTTTAATTACAAAATATATATACCTTTAAGAGGGTTTTCTTAGCTTCTTCATTTGGTATCCATGCATCTCTTCGTCTATCAGCCTCTTTATCCACTGGTTGATTCTAAAAGCAAATTAATTTTAAAATATGAAATTCTTAACATCCATATAAAATCTACATAATTAATTTATTTAACACTTTCTTAGATTAACGCGAATATTTGACATTTATAATAAAACTATCTTTTCAGATTATTTCGTGGATTCATTTTGATTTTTGGTTCCAAACCAAAATTAATTTATTTTTAAATAAAGTGTTATAAATTATTTTTTAAATAAATTCAAAGTGATAATATAGTAAGATTGATTTACCTTGATGCTTAAGCCATCTATAGCATCAGTCAGGACTGATGTAGACATTATATTACTTTTTGTTGGCCCAATCTGTGGCTCAGGTCCGATAGTATCAAAAAACGTAGACGGATCTGGCAGACTGGTTGCAGGAATTGCTGTAGAACCGCTCACAGTTGGTAAAACATTTGTGAAATTCATTTCCTGGGGCATGTTAAGTTGGGTAAAGGATGTCGTCATGTTTTGTCCAAACATACCCGTACCTGTAGTTTGAGGCCGTGCTGCGAATATATTTTAAATATTAAAGTAAAAGCGATGTACAGTAATCAATAAACAAGCTCTCTTTATGAAAATATAATTTCCATTACTTTCTGAATCTCCTAAATAAACACTTTGAATCATTTCAGAGGGTGACGTTCCGATTTCATCGAAAAATTGGGAAGCAGGCGGTACTTCACTTCCGCCAAAGTATTGGCTTAAACTGGGTTTATTATCCATTACAGTAATTATTTACATCTGGGAATATTGATAAAGATGAAAATGTCAATTGTCAAATGGTACTGAGAAACTTGACATTTCTGGTTTGACGAGTAAATAATGTTACCATATAAATAAATAGTGATAACTGATATTATTAATATGTAAATGTTCTAATGTCTTACGTTTTTTACTTAAATAAAATTTTGCGTAATAATTAAAGAATATTTTTCTAAAATTAACTATCTCAAAATAATTGTAAGATAAAATTATAAAATGATTAGATATATAATGGTAGCACTCAAAACTAACGTCAAAATTAAGAAAAAAACTTCGAGATCAACAACTCCCCTCATTAAAGAGATTTTCGTTTTAAAAATATCTTTATCAGCAGTTTATAACGATACCTGTTATTTACACACGTCGCCGGTACGTATTTCAGTGCACACATGGAGCGTTTAGATCATCCATTTTTGTATATTTGGTCGAATGTTAGTTTGTAAAAATTGTGTGATTTAAACTATTACCAACATTTTTTGATCAGTTTTTATAGTGATACAAATATTTATTCTTTATAGGCCCAAATGACGAACCAAGCATCCCCTGTAGAAGAGCAGGAGAAGCTTCTTGATGAAGCATTAAATGTTGTCAAAGTTCAGGTACCTAAGTATTTAATGATTGGATTTGGACTATGAATATGCAATTTTTTTTACTATTATCTATATTCTGTATATTTAAGAAATTTACAGTTTATAAATACAAACAAGAATATTTTTCCTTTTATTTGGTTTATCATATATCTATACTTAACTGAAACTAATTGAAGAATAAAATTTATTTATTATGTTTGGACTTTTTTTAATAAAAATGCTGTATCAAGAAGTCAACCACTAAAAATAGCTAGTTAATATATATTGCTTATTTCTTTTACATTTCAGGCATTTCAAATGAAAAGATGCCTGGACAAATCAAAACTGATGGATGCCTTGAAGCATGCTTCCACCATGCTTGGAGAGTTAAGAACTTCTTTACTTTCTCCAAAGAGTTATTATGAGCTCTGTATCCTCTTTAACCAAAATCCTTATTTATTAATTTACTTGTTTAGTGTACTGAATTACATTATTACACTTTATTGTATAGAAAACAAATGTCTGAAAAATTTCTTTTTGTTTTGTAGAACTTCTACAAAATATAAAAATAAATGCAATAAATAGAATATTAAAAATGACTCTTATATTATAACTTAGAAATGTAAAAAATATATTTTAATACTTATTACTATTATATTGCTAACTAATAAGTTATACATAAGTGATCTAAATGTGGCTTAGTTACAGGCTATTTTCGAAATATAGAATTTAAATCTTAAAGTAATAATTATTTATCTATGTTTTGATTATGTAATTATAGAATTATTTTTATAAAAATGTGGTACTGCCCAAGAGTAGTTGATAGATATTAATTCTTAATGAATAATAAATTAAGAAAGGAATGCTTTTTAAACATATTTTACTCCTTAATTATAATACAGATATGGCAATAACAGATGAACTTCGACATTTAGAACTTTACCTGCTAGAAGAATTCCAGAAGGGAAGGAAAGTGGCAGATTTATATGAACTAGTCCAATATGCTGGTAATATTGTGCCACGGTTGTATCTGTTGATTACTGTTGGTTTGGTGTATATTAAGACTAATTCAAATCTAAGGAGAGATTTATTAAAGGTAAGCTATATTGTTATATTTTATTTTCTTTGATTAAATTTATTTTAGTATAATAAATAGAAATCATTAAAAAAAATCAAACACATAACACTCCTTTGAGCTTCATGTCAGTCCGGTAAAAAAAGAAGTGAAATTTTAAGTATTATAAATAATACTGTTGTGCTTTTACTTTTTACACATAAATAAATACTTATAAAAAAATTGAAATAAAAGTCGTAAATGTTGAAAGTAAAAGGACCTTTCTCAAGAATGGAGAAGTTTCCAAATTTTTTAAATTTATTAATTATAAAAATTTAAACAAAATATAACAAAAATATAGCAGAATTATTAAAATATCTAACAAATGAAAAAGTTATGAAACTTTAAAGTTGCGCTAGCAAGAATAATTTCTAATGTCACACGACCTGAACGGGAGACATTTAAATTAATTTCTCCATCATTTATTGATAGATTTCAAAAAAAAAATCACTGTTTTATTAGTTTTGATCTATATTATAATTCCATTACGTTAAATATGATATTATCAACACCAGAAAACTTCTCCATTGATATATAAAATGCAAAAAAGATTTTTGAAATCCTACTGATAGATGAGGTAAGAGATTGGCACATTTAGAGAAACAAACTCTTCATATTTCTTGGCAACAATCTTTATTACATCATCAAAAATACACTATTTATTCTTAGTGACACATCCCACTGCTCAGATTTCTACCCACATTCCGTTATTTAGTTGTTTCTTAATATTTACATATTTATTGTGAAGCTGAGTTTATTGTCCAAAATGTCTAAATCACAAAGTAAATCACATGATTTAGTGTTTGTTTAAAAAAGCTAAGCGCACATAACACTGGTGAAAATAACCATTTTTGTTTAACACTACTTGGTTGGTTTTACATCTATATCTATACAGATAAATATAATTGAAGTGTCTGTTTGTAATGTCAAAATACCAGCGTTTTACATGCATATGAAATTATATACAGTAGTTATGAGAAAAACACATTTTTTTAAATTTTTGTCTGTCTGTTTGCTCCAGATAGTCTCTGAAACGGCTGAACTGATTTTGACGGGACTTTCACTGGAAGATAGCTGATGTTATAGGGATTCTTAATATATAAAATTCCTTCGAAACTACTTATTAGATCTTAACATATTTTTTTAAATGTGTAATTTGTTCATAAATAAAGGATAGTTTTTATCCAGATTATTTCCTTTTTTTACTGCAAAATTATCGATTTTCATATCCGGAGAGGGATTCGAGAAAGAGAACTTTAGAAAATGTTGACATTAACTTTTGAAGTTATAAGTACAGTCCCAGTTTAACAGTACAATTATACTTGTTATTAGAGTGCACAAGTTAAAATACTTATAAGTTTGAAGTACTTTAATTACTGAAGTTACAGTATAATTTTGTCGACTCTAACGGACCACGTCTGTTCGGCTCAGTGTCTTTAAATGCACTCGTACCTAATAAATGTAGCGACGAATCGCCTCGAAAAGGTGTCGCGCAAAGTAAGCAAGTTAAACATTTTCGTGACTCGTACATTACAAGTGTTTTTGTTTTAATAAAATTATTCTTACGTTGGCTGTTTTTGCTAAACGGCCTAATTTATTAGCTCATTCGACAGACATCCTACCTAAATTTTAATAATTTTATTTTATAACTAGCTAGGTACATTTTAATTTTTTTGAGCGGAACCCTATTTCTTTTACTGAAATTTATTTTAGTAAAAGAAATAGACTTTTAAGTAGCGTCAGTTACTACTTATAACATCTACTACCTGCCAGTGAAAGTCCCGTCAAAATCGGCCCAGCCGTTTCGGAGATTAGCCGGAACAAACAGATAAAAAATTTAAAAATTGTATTTTTCTTACAAATACCGTATATAATTAATTCTATATGCATTTAGTAAAAAACTGTTATTTTGACATTACAAAGAGACACTTCAATTTTATTTATCTGTATAGACATTTTAGGTCATACAAAAATTGTATAAAAAAAAACACCTTCTTTTAGTTTTCCAGAATCTCCTAAATTTTAAATATCCGCGTAACTTTTCTGAGATTTTTTCCTGGAAAAATTATTCAAATTACAAACGTATACCATTATATTTTTAGTATATACATTTTTATGTTCCAGGATTTAGTAGAAATGTGCCGTGGAGTGCAACACCCTCTCCGTGGTCTCTTCCTCAGGAACTACTTGTTGCAATGCACCAGAAATGTGTTGCCTGACACAACTGAAGCTCAGAATGAAAATGAAGGGACTGTACGTAAAATTCATATAAATATACAGATTTTATCCGATTTCTTCCGATAATACTTTCTTAGATTTACGCCAATATTTGACATTTCAAATAAAACTATCTTTTCGGATTTTTTCGCGGATTTATTTTGTTTTTTGGTTTCCGACGTTTCGAATGCTTTACAACAATTATGGTCAAGGAAAATTAATACGCGATAAATAATAGGTATTGTTTATTATATATATTTATATCTGTACTTTATAATTGTCTGTTTATCCATATTTTTTAGGTCCGCGACGCCATTGACTTTGTACTTATGAACTTTGCTGAGATGAACAAGCTGTGGGTTAGAATGCAACACCAGGGACATTCTAGGTGAGATAGCACGAATTGTGATAGAATATTATAGTGCGGTAGATAAAAAATATATATATCTTCAATAATACACAGTTAGCGAATAACAAAATTTTATAATGTTATTACCAGTAAGTTAGGGGGTGTTTTTTTAAAGTAGCCAAATTGTTAATACAATATATATTTTATTCAGTAAACAGATGTGTGAAAGACAATCTCACATCGGATCCTAGACTATAATAAACAATTTCCACAGGGATAAAGAAAGACGTGAACGTGAACGGTCCGAGCTACGTATATTAGTAGGGACGAATTTAGTCCGTCTGTCCCAACTGGAGTCGGTGGGAGAGCAGGACTACCGGAGATTGGTGTTGCCGGGGATATTGGAACAGGTTGTGAGTTGCAGAGATGCTATAGCCCAGGAATATCTCATGGAGTGTATCATACAGGTATGTAGAGCTTGCGTTTTTTTTATGTATTTTTTATCTAAATGAATTTTGTTATCCGCCATTTTTATTTTTTTCTAAACTTGCAGCGCTCTATGCAACTAGTAGGTGTATACAGATAGTAGATACTTAAATAAATCTAAAAGTATGTTTAGTCAGCTAACTTCATCATGTCGCTTTTTGGCTGTCGGTGTGGGCGCGCATTGTAAAAGTTTTACTCTCATAATTTTTTTCCAAACGTGCCAAAACAAGTGTAACTTCAAAAAAACAATAAGTATTGACAGTTTATTTTAGTTTTTAGTACAGATTGATATAAAAATTTATGTTAAAATAATTTAAATATTTCCATTTTTCCAGGTTTTCCCCGACGAGTTCCATTTGGCAAATCTTCAGCCATTTTTGAAGTCGTGTGCAGAACTACAGCCCGGAGTCAATATCAAGAATATTATTATTGCGTTGATTGAAAGGTTGGCCGCTTTCAGTCAGGTATGAACACTTTATTACCTCAGTTAATTTTTTTTTAATATAGTAATTGCTGATTACTAGAGACTGGATTTTATGCAACATAAAGAGATTGAAATATGCATGCGAATATACATGAAAAATGAAACTAAAAAAAAAAACTTTCTAAAAATGAAAATATGCAACATTAAATTAAAAAAAAATAAGTCTTTTTTAGGGTTCCGTACCCGATGGGTGCGGTACCGGAACGCTATTCCTAAGCCTTCGCTGTCCGTCCGTCCGTGTTTCAGAGGGCTGTATCTCATGAACCGTAATAGGTAGAGAGTTGAAATTGTCACAGAGTAGGATTATGTGATGATTATTGAAGATGTTGAAAAAATCATGGCGATTGGGTGGATTTTGGTCTAATAAATATATAGTATTTATAATTATTGTTCTAGAGGAATGAAGGTAATGTGAACTTAAGCGTAGTTCTAGAAGATGGTAAAGAACAAGAAGTCCAGCTATTCGAGGTGTTCTCAGACCAAGTGGCAGCTATCACTCAGGTAAGAACAGTTATTATTCCTTACTAGTTTTTACCCTTTGTTCTGCTCGCATAGTCTCTTCCTGTGATGGAATCTGTTTTCTTGCAAAAATCGAAATAAATTCAGCGGTTTAATAGTAAAAAAGCAACTGACAGACAGTGTTATTTAATAATATCATGAATGTTAGGTAAATCTATACTTCTATACAAACATATAATCTTTCACGGCTAAGCGGATCTGGATGAAATCCCGGAATAAACATTGTATGGTCATCTTGTAAAAACACCCTTAAAAATTTAATATATTGGAGAAATCGATAATTTTTACTTTGTAAACTACATTTTTTTTAATTATCATTGAAAAAGTGCACTTTATTGACCAAATTTTTATAAACCGATTACACCAATGTATTTTTTGGTTTATAATTTAAAAAAAAAAAAAAACAAGAAACAGTTAAAAACGGAGTTTTTTGCAAATATCTCGAAAACTTTGAGGTTATTGTAAAAAGTGTTATTTATAAAAGTTGTAGATTTTTGCTGGACCTACAACTTTTGTATAGAACATTTTTCGATAGAACGTCACAGTAAGCCGGAAATTGAAAAAAAAAACTATTTTTTAAACGCTTTGCGTTCCCCCATTTCTCGAGGGTAGCTGGGCATCGGGGGCATTTTACGAATTTTTATTCCTTATATACATGCTAACATTTTAAAATCATAAAACTTCAGGTTTTCAATATATTTTTTTCTCTTAAAAATATACGGATTCCGATTGGTCTATAAGTACCGTATATAATTTTATAATTCTTATGCATTTAGTAAAATGCTGTTATTTCGACATTACAAAGAGACACTTCAATTTTATTTATCTGTATAGATTTGTGCAATAAAGAATATATATCTATCTCCCATCCAACAACAGAGCCGCACGGACATGCCGCCCGAGGACATGCTGGCGCTGCAGCTGGCGCTGCTGAAACTGGCGCAGCGCTGCCACCCCGAGCGCCTGGCGTACGTGGACCGCGTGCTCGCGCACACCGACAGGATCTGCGCGGACATACACCAGGCCAGGTTTCTTTTTTGTTCATTATTTATATTCTCCCTTTTTTTCTTACCATCTCTTCCTCTCCCTCTCTTCCTCCCTCATTTTCTCTCCTCTCTCTCTTTTATGTTGTATATTCTGCATCCTTGTTTCCTCTTCCCATCTTTATCTCATTCTCTATCAAACTCAGTCGATACGAGCGGAATTTGTACATAATTTATGTACTCATGATTTTTTTGAAGTGGATTTTAATGGATAGTGGAACTCTTTATTGGCTATCAATATTAAGATCGAGCCTAAGCTAATTTGATTAGTTATATACTTAACTAGATACTCACCCTCGCCTCGCTCAGGTTCGTTCCTAGTTACGTAATAACGTTTAGCTCAGAGATTCCGCAGTAAAAAGTATCCTATATGGTTACCCGGATAACTATCATCATAGCAAATTTCATCAAAATCTGTCCAGAGATTTCTTCGTGATGCGGTCACACACAGACAGACATAAATTCTTAAAACTATAGATTCGGCCTCTGTATCGATAATAATGATTATTTCAATAAGATTTTGCAATAAATATTTAATGTACAGATTCGACTCTGTTAGAATTTTATTATGTATATAGATATAAGTCCATTATATTTAATCAAAAGCATAATTTTTGTTTGAAATTAGTATATTCATTCACAATATTATATCAATTCCAGCGGCAAACCCTATCTGGAGCACAACACGCCAGTGTTCAAGGAGCTGATGAAGATCCTCAAGCTACCGGCGGACCACTACAAGAATATCCTGACCCTGATCAAGTTGAAACACTACGCCCCCCTCATCTCTCGCCTCAACCAGCCAGGACGCCTCATGATAGCTGTTCACCTGGTCAATGATGTATTGGAAAGTGATACCACAGTGTCTACTCCGGAGGATGTGAGTAATAACCAACTAGCAAAGCAAAATTAGACAATTTTCTTGGTATTTTTTTATTATGTTCCGTACTTGAAGATTGCTAACTGGACCTTATTACTAAGCCAGCCGCGCAATGTTGACGTGCTGGAGAGTGACACCACGTTGTCTCCGGAGGATTTGATAACATAAGCAATATTATTATTGTGATGTAAAACGTATTTTTGTTTATCATTTAGTTTTTGAGAGCTCCCAATATTTCTTTCGGATATTAGCCGAAACAGACTGACAGAAATAAAAGTGACATTTTAAAAATTGAGTTTGTTCTTATAAGTATCATATATAATTTCATAAGTATTTAGCAAAAAGCACTTATTTCGACATTACAAACAGACACTTCAATTTTAGTTATCAAATATTCGCGTAAATTATAATAATCAAAATATTATATTTATTAGGTGGAAGCGGTTTTGTCGATGTTGGACGTGCTAGTGCGTGAGCAGCCCGACCAGCCCGCCAGTGAACCTGACCAGGACGACTTCATGGAGGAACAGGGGCTGCTGGCCAGGTAATGAGGGTTCGGTGGTTTCTCGCACAAAGCAAGGTCTTATAATAATTTGTTAGGACAATAACACACAGCACCATCTAGTTCCATAGTAAGCTACGAGGCCTGTGTTATGGATACCAGATAATTGATACGCTCCTGCACATATATGTATATAACTTTAAATACATACATATGAACACCTATAATATAAATATAAACACCTATGATTGGAGTACAAATATTCGTGCTCATCATACAAATGAATGCCCCCCAGTGAGACTCGAACCCGCAACCGCTGGCACGACAAGTAGAGTCACTACAAACTGAGCCAAATGTGTCATCAAGGTTTGATAAATTAGTAAGTATCGACAGAGACAAGACTTCATAAAACACAATGATAATAATATTAATAGTATTAAAAAAATCACCGACAACTTCCTCACTCTGGACTGTTATCTTACTATTATATAAATGCGAAAGTTTGGATGGATAGATGTTCAATCACGCCAGAACGACTGAACGGATCTTAGTGAAATTTGGCAAGTTGATCTAATATCTATCCCAATCCCCAGATTAATCCACCACTTCAAGTCAGAGTCAGCGGACCAGCAGTACCTGATCCTGTCGGCGGCGCGCAAGGCGCTGCAGGGCGGCGGCGCGCGCCGCATACACCACACCTTCCCGCCCATCGTCTTCCATGCTTACAGGCTTGCCTTCACTTATAAGGATCTCAAGGATCAGGTATGGGTTCTTTTCTGATGTCTAATTTTGGATATGCTAAGATTCTCTTTACTTAGAAACCAATTGCGTTGAAGACAATATATATTTTTTTTACTCTTATAATCCGATTGGACAATAATTTGTAACGAAAGACGACGAAAAACCGCAGGATATCATAACAGAAAATCCTAGTAACGGGTTTGGTACTACCTGAATTTTAAACCCAGGATCTCGTGATTTATTTATATAAATTACTATCGGCTCACACTCGCTTCGCTCCGATTCATCCCAGGTACATTTTAACGGTTAGTATCGAATATCGATAGTCCAACTATCTCAACACACAAAAAATCACGCCAATCCGTCACTCTGTTTCGACGTGAAAGAAGGACAAACAAACGAACACACTTTGACATTTATAACATTAGTATGGATTGTCTATAATTTTATCTTTATTAGTTAAATAGTAAAGAGGTAACAAATAAACTTACTTTCATATTTATCAGCTCGGCCTCGTTTGGCTCGAGTTCTTCCCTAGATACGTTTTATATGTTAGTACGAAAAAGATAGAAATATATATATTGTAATATATAGCCTATACCTTTCCTCAATAAACCGACTATCTAATGTAAAAATATTTTTTCAAATCGGATTCTACTAATCCACTTCTTGAGATTAGCGCGTTCAAACAGACAAACAAACATACTCTACCTCTTTATAATATTAGTATATATTATAGATGTATGTATATATGAGTTGGTATATACAAAAGATGATTTACGAGTAAATTATAAAATATTCCAGGATGATATGTGGGAGAAGAAATGTCAGAAGATCTTCCAATTCTGTCATCAGACGATCAGTTTGCTGGTGAAAGCTGAACTAGCTGAGTTACCGCTAAGGTTTGTATTGTATTATGAACTAGTGCAGTTACGCGTCTTTGTCCGTTTTTAGTTAAAAAATAACCAATGAATTTATACTTTCTTAGATATACGCGAATATTTAACGTTTAATAAAATTGTGTTTTTGGATTGTTTTCGCGGATTTATTTTGATTTTTAGTTCCCGACGTTTAGAGTGCTTTACAGCAATCATGGTCACGGGAGAGACTGAGGTGTTAGATGTCTCAAAGGCGTTATATAGTTGTTACAGACAGCCTACCCACTAAATAAAAAAATGAATTTCAAAAAATACAAAAATTGCATCAAAGTACCTTACAATATTTTTTAACTTTAAACATTTTTATAATTTTAATAAGTTTTATAATTGAATATGGAATATTATTTATTTAATTTTGACTGTTAATTTTATAATTATTTCATTTTTTTTTTAAACTTTATTAATTAGTAATCTTATTTAGTGTTGCCATTATTATATTTATAAACAAAAAATATATATTAATAATTATTCAAAGCAACATTATTGTGTAATTGAAAAAGTTAAAATTAATTAAGAATAATAATTTGAATTTAGTTTGCAATTATTTAGAAAAAAATTAATATTTTAAGTACTATTACTACATACTTTTACAATGAAGAATATTTGAGAGACTATTATATTTATAGTTGATCTCGATTATTGTTATCTATGTAGTACTTCTATACTAATATTATAAAGAGGTAAAGTTTGTGAGTTTGTGATGTTGTAGACGGTAATCTCTTGATCTACCGAACCGATTTAGATGAAATGTGATAAGAAAATAGTTTGAGACCCAGAGAAGGGCATAAGATACTTTTCATCCCGGAAATCATCCCTTAAGGGAGTGAAAATGGGGATGAAAGTGTGTATTGGGAAGCGAGCTAGTTACGAACCCAAGCGAAGCGAGTATGAATCGTTAATACTTTTTTGCTTCAATTAACAAAAAACCTCAATCTTACCTTTACGTTTTCAGATTGTACCTACAGGGTGCGCTGGCGATAGGTGAAATAGGTTTCGCCAATCACGAGACGATCGCGTACGAGTATCTCTCGCAGGCGTTCTCCCTCTACGAGGACGAGATATCCGACAGCAAGGCGCAGTTGGCGGCCATCACGCTCATCATTGCTACATTCGAACAGATCAATTGTTTTGGTGAGATTATCTATTTATTTATATTAAACTAGCATTGCCCGCGGCTCCGCCCGCGTTTAGATGACCAAAAACCAAATTCTTAGGTTTTACATATTAGTATACTCTTACATTGCAGTTTTTATATTTTTCTCAGAAATGAGATATTTTCCTACGGTAAAAAGTATCCTATACGTTGACCCGGATAACCAGCTACCATCATACCAAATTTCATCAAAATCCCTCCAGTGGTTTTTCCGTGATGCGGTGACAGACAGACAGACAGGAATTCTAAAAACTATAGATTCGGCCTCTGTATCGATAATAATGTCTATTTCAATAAGATTTTCCAAAAAATATTAAATGTACAGATTCGACTTAGTTAGAATTTTATTATATGTATAGATTAAATATAAAGGAATGAGAAATATACAATATAATTCATATTATAAATGTGAAAGTGTGTTTGTTTGTCCTTCTTTCACGTCGTAACAGAGTGACGGATTGGTGAGATTTTTTGTGTGGTGATAGTTGGAGGGATGGAGAATGATAAGGCTTAGACTTTTTACCGCGGGAGATTGTCTTATTCCCACGAGGAAACACATACAATTCGTAAAAACGTAACTAGGAACGAGTCGCTAGTCTCAACAACAACTATAAATATAAAATATAAATATAGTACCAATTATAAATATAAATATGTGGACACAAATACGCACACACGAACTCACTCCTACGCACATATTATGTATATACATAAACGTGTGGAATAGGATAATTATTTTTACATTTTTAGCAATATTATATTTTTATTGTTGTTTTCGTTTCGTACAATACGAACAGTCAACATCGTGTGAAACTGCTTCGGTGGTCTAGTGGCTAGCATGTACGGCTACAGATCTGGACCTTCTAGGTTTGAGTCCGGAGTCGGGCCGAGCGTAACTACTGAGTTTTTCTGTTAAGAAATTCTCAGATCTCAATAACAGCCCAGAGTATGAGAGTGACAGGAATAGAGAGTGCACTTGTGTCTGTGCTCTCTCTCACACGCGCTGCACTATAATATCTCCTGCGCAGTTGGCTAGTCTCAGTGAGATTGGCCGTCATGGCCGGAATCGCTCGCGAGGACATTATTATTATTATTATTATTGTGTGAAAGTGAAAGAGTACACCGTGTGTGTGCGCAGGCGCAGAGAACGCGGAGCCGATGCGCACGCAGTGCGCGCTCGCCGCCAGCAAGCTGCTTAAAAAGCCTGACCAGAGCCGGGCCGTGGCGCTGTGTGCACATCTCTTCTGGAAGGCCTCTAAAGATGGAAATCAGGTATTTTAAATATTTTTTTAGGTTTTCATGCTGGTTTTTTTCCTCTTTTATGACTGACCGTTAACATGATATTATGTATGTTAGTAGAGACTTTATTATTGTATGTGCTGTTTTATTGGTGCTTTTTGGTGGTGTATTAGCTAGTAATTGTTTTTAATGTTGTTTGGTTTTCAAAACATAATTCTTATTTTTTTGCAGATAAATAAAATTGAAGTGTCTCTAACGAAAAACATTTTTTTTTAATTTTTGTCAGTTTGTCTATTTATTTCAGCTAATTTCCGAAACGGTTAGATTGATTTTGAAGGGACTCACACTGGCAAATAATAAATAATAATAATAAATATGTTGGGACATTAACACACAGCATCATCTAGTTCCATGGAAGTTGCGAGGCTTGTGTTATGGATAGCAGACAGTAATACATACATATTATAAATATAAACACCCATAACTGCAATACAAACATTCGTGCTCTCACAAATGAATGACCCCAGCGGAACTCGAAACTGCGACCGCTGGCACAGCAAGTAGGATCACTACAAATTGAGTCTAACGTGTCGTCATATAATAGCTGATGTTATAGGGAGTAACTTAGACTATATTTTAGTATAATAGATAATAAATAAACGAATGCCCACCCCAGTGGTCGCTGAACGAGCCGTCGCGCGCGCTGGACTGCCTGCGCAAGGCGGCGCGCGTGGCGCAGCAGTGCATGGACGGCGGCGTGCAGGCGCAGCTGCTGGCCGAGCTGCTCGGCCGCTACGCGCTGCTGCGCGAGCGCGGCAACGGCGCGCTCACGCCGCCCGTCATCGACGCCGTGCGTACACACACACACGCACACACACACACACACACACACGCACGCACGCACGCACGCGACCGTACATGTACAGACGTGCGGTATATATTCGTTCATTTTATCGGTGACCGCGCTCTTTTATAAGAATCCATGCACAACTGGCGAATACATCGCGTGAACATATTTAAAAAAAGAAAATGAGTATTTTTTTTGTAAAATATTAAAATTTGAAGTAATTATTAATTGAGTTCTTTTTTTACTTTAAGAATAACTTCCATTCTGAAGGATGGAAAAATTTAATAATTAACATTTACATTTATTTTAATGTATTGAGCCCTATTTAACGTCCCACTGCTGGGCACGGGCCTCCTTTCAATTCGAGGGGGATCAGGCCATAGTCCACCTCGCTGGACAAGTGCGGGTCTTCCTCAAACTTGTTAGGTCTCTCAGACATGCAGGGTTCCTCGCGATGTTTTCCTTCACCGTAAGACAAGTGGTGATCATGTTGGAAATTATTCGCACCTGAAAATATCAGAGGTGCGAGATCCGGAATTTGAATCCGCTTAATTCGGTTTACCAAGCAGCGCGTTACTACTGGGTACGAAAGCAACAAAAACACACTCAAAAACAAAAAAAATACTTATCAATATTCCACTTCAAAATTACAGATAATACAAAAGATACGCGAGGAGTTGGGTAACCTCGACCAGTCCGAGGAGGTGGAACAGATCACGAAGCACTTCCACAACACGCTGCAGCACATCAAGAACAGAATGGAGTGTCCCGACCCTGAGGGTCTGGGGTATGAGGGACTGGTTCTCACATAGACTAGGTTTTGTGATGAGAAGATGGAACTAAAGAAATGTATAATGGACAAGTTTCCTGATGTTGATAATATCATATTTAACTCAATGGAATTATAATATAGATCAAAACTAATAAATCAGTGTGAAATTTTTGAAATTATACTTCTTTTGACACGTTTGGATAAAATTATGAGGGTAAAATTTTTACGATGCGCGCGTACACTGACAGCCAAAAAGCGACATGATTAAGTTAGCTGCATTCCTTCTACAAACAGAGAGTTGTGACATACGGGATGAAATCTTTAGCTATTTTTGTTCTGTTACGCCAAAGAAGTATAACTTCTTACGTGCCACATAATTTACATACACAGGTTTTTTTTAAATCTATCAATGAATGAAACTGAGAAATTAATTTCATTAAATGTCGGTCGGTCAGGTCGTATGACGTCACGAAATTTTCTTACAAGCGCAACTTTTAAAGTTTCATCACTTTTTCATTTGTTGAGATATTTTAATAATTCTTTCGTAATTTGGTTTATAATTTGCTTAAAATTTTATAATTAATATAAAAAAAATGGGACACTTCTCCATTTGATTTATTTTCTATGGATGTTGGCTGATTGTGAGCTGGTTTAAGTGTTTTTTTTTTAAATTAAATAGGTAAGAATTTTAAGTGTATAATTTTAATATGAATTTTATTCCACCTTAAAGGTAGAATTCATCATTTTTTTAGGTTATTTTCAAAGTCTAATTGTTTGTGTTAGTCATTTTATTGTTCACTAGTTGTACCCTAGTTTTACAATAATGTATGGAAGTCTGTCCGATTTGTTGACATTTATGATTACTGCTACGTTCCTTTGGGTAGCATGATGATATATAGCCTACAGCCTTCCTCAATAAACGGGCTATCTAATGTAAAAAGAATTTTTCAAATCGGATTAGTAGTTCCTGAGATTAGAGCGTTCAAAAAAGCAAACAAACTCTGCCTCTTTATAATATTAGTATAGATGTAAAATTATATAAATGGATTAATTAATAATGATTGAAGATTGTATTATTACTTTTGAAATGAATCTTTTTCAACATTTTTTTTTATTTTACATTTTTTTGTTTTATACTTTATGCTTATATTATTTCAATGAGTTTTGATATATAAATTATTGTATCAAGTATTTTTAATTTATTTGCAATTACATTGTTCCTTGAAGATTTGAGGTCTCGGAATCCATCGGGTTATGGATCATATTTTTGACCGACTTCAAAAAAAGGTTATTGCCGATGTATTTTTTTCATTTTTGAAGTTATATTTCTTTTGGCACGTTTGGATAAAATTATGAGGGTAAAATTTTTACGATGCGCGCGCACACTCACAGCCAAAAAGTGACATCATCAAGTTAGCTGCATTCCTTTTACAAACAGAGACTTGTGACATACAGGATGAAATCTTTTGCTATTTTTGTTCTATTATGCCAAAGAAGTATAACTTCTAACGTGCGTACAGAAGTACACACACACACACTTTTTTTATATATAAATATGTTGCTATCTAGTTTTTGTGTACGTTTTGAGCGCATACAAGTTTTGAAAGAATATATATACATGTCTTTGTGGTACAGTGATCGTCATTTATAATTATATAAGTAAATAAGTTTTAATTGTTAAATTATTATGTAATAGATTTAAATAGAATATTGTATATTATTAGCAATATATGAATTTGTTTAAATTTTTGTTGTTTTATTTTTATACTATCAAAATTCAAAATTTCTTATAATGAGATGGGCCTACGGCCTAACTACCGGAAAATTGACTAAGTTTGACCTCTCTTATAAAACATCTACGATGTTTTATAAAATTTCGATAATTCATAAATGTGAATGTGTCTGTTACGTTTTCTCACCTAAACCAATTTTGATGAATTTGGGCATAGCGATAGATGGGACCTTAGAGAAGGACGCAGGCTATTTTTTGTCTCGAAAATAAAACTTGAAGGGCATGAAATGAAAGTATAAAGCCCTGTTGTCCTTTTTCACCTGTTGTGTTTTTGCTACTAGAAACATAAACGAGATATATTCTGGTATATTGTATTCATAAAACAGATAATACAACAGGTAAACAAAATTGAAGTGTGATGGTAATAAATAAATATGTTGGGACATTAACACACAGCACCGTCTAGTTCCATGGTAAGCTACGAAGCTTGTGTTATGGATACCAGATAGTTGATACACTATATTATATTATAAATAATCCATGACTAGAGTACAAACATTCGTGCTCATCACGCAAATGAATGCCCCAAGCGGGACTCGAACTCGCGACCGCTGGCACAGCAAGTAGGCACTACAAACTGAGCCAAACGTGTCGTCATAATGTCCATATAACAGCTTCATACTAAATAAGATTCTAATAAAAAAAACTGATTCTAATAAAAAAAAAAAACATTTTTTTTAATTTTTGTCCTTGTTTGTTCCGGCTAATCTACGAAACGGCTCAAGCGATTTCGACGAGATTTTCATTGGCAGATAGCTTATGTTATAAGGAGTAACTTAGGCTACTTATAGGTAAATTGAAAAAGCAAAATCTCTAAATACAAAATCCAATCGCCAAAGCCGTTTCCGATATACACAAAACAGAATTATATACAATAATTATTGCTCATATTAAAGGAATAAAATTAATGTTATTAGGGTTCTTAAAAGGTAGATAGAATAATTAGTTACAACAAATTACAATAGATGGTGTTGTATGAATCATTTGTTATTCATATTAAATAAAAAATTAAAGAAATAGAAAAAAGTAGATCTTGCAAAACTTACATTTTTTTGGAGGTTCCAAAAGCCAAAAACAATGAAATAACTGATTGCTAACGTATTTTTTTTTAAATATGACAACGAAATTTGTTTTTTGGGACTTTGCTTCTACTACTATAAACGAAAAACAAAAAAAAAGAAGTAATAGTGCAAATTATTTAATTACTTTCTATAAGATGTTGTCTATAGTTATGTGGGAAAATTAAAAAAAAGATAATTTAAAATACATAATATATTTCATTACCATAAAAATTATAATATTCTGTTTCCTTGAACATTATTCCTATTGTTCAACATGATCTTCTCTTGCCGCTTCTTCTCTTCTTTGAAGGCTTCTTTGTTCGCTTTCTTCTCTACCCTTCGCTCTTTTCTGTATTCTTTGAGGAGGCGTTTTCTTTCTTTCTTCTCTTCTGGCGTTTCGTCTTTAGGCCTAAGAATAAATGAAATAAAGAATTTTTTTTTATTAAAAGAAAATTAAGAATTTTTACTTATAAATGTTAGTTTTATATGTAAAATTTTAATAAAAATCTTTAATTCGCTATATTGTAATATTACACGCAATTAACACGTACGTATATACATTGTTTTCATATAACTCGGACGATTGATTTTTCCGACATCTTCAACAATCATCGTCATATTTCAGACAATTTAAACCTTAACCTTAAAAACATTAATGAATTATACACCGAAACCTTCCTCATGAAACACTCTGTACATTGGTGAAAATTGTATGTCAATCTGTTCGGTAGTTTTTGAGTTTACCGTGTTAAAACATACAGACGGCGTGTTCGTTTTATAATAATTAATATGTAATGATAAAGTAAAATACCTTATAGATAATACACTTAATGTAGATAACACTGTCTCAGCGTTGGTCTGACCATCGTCATCCGATGCTTTGTTCATGTCCTCATTCATTTCGTTGAACTTAGCAAGAGATTTCAATGTTAGCTTATTCTGTTTGCCGAGAGTGTCTTCTGGAAGACCTGTTTTAGCGTTGATTTTGATCTTTTTGGGTTTCTGCAAAAAAAAAATGAACCACTAAGAATAATTTAATATTTTCTTGGATTATGTATTCAGCCCTTTTTAACGTCCCACTGCTGGGCACGGGTCTCCCTTCAGTACGAGGGGGATCAGGCCAAAGTCCACCACGCTGGCCAAGTGCAGATGAACTGAGCATGTCTGTCGAGAACTTGCTAGGTTCTCTCAAACATGCAGATTTCCTCACAATATTTTTCGTCACCGTTAAGTGATAATCATCTCTCACCGCAAGTGTCAAAGTATCGTCCCACCGGAGTATGAAAGTGACAGGAATAGAGAGTGCACTTGTGTCTGCACATACACTAATGCACTATAATATATCCTGCGCAGGCTAATTTCAGTGATATTGGCCACCATGGCCGGAATGAGTCATGGGGGACTTTATGCGTTCCAATACCAACAATTATTAATCTTTAGAGACAAAACAGAACAAAGCGAGATCTCCTAATAACAATCAAGTGCAATAAATAATATTTCGTCTAACCTTAGGTTCCTCAATGACTTTGGGATGGTTGTACAAGTTAGAGTAAGTGGAGAGTATGGTCTCACAGTCCCACTTCTCTTTGGGCTCCACTTCCATTGTTACGAGGTTATCTTCCTCCGACTCTTCCTCTATTTCTTGGAGACGTTGTATTCTAGCAATAAATGTGTAAATTATATATTTGCTTTATTTTTAAAAAATATATTTGCTTTTTTTGTAGTGTTTTTTAATGAAATAAGTTAATTTTAAGGTACTTTAGTGCCATTTTTCTATATTAAAATGCAGACAAAAATTTCAATAACTTGTTTTGGGGTTTATATTCTGTACTCAACATGTAATAGTCACTCTTATTATTATTATATTAGTTATTATTTTATTATATGTATAATTTTTTGTGTTGACAAAGTCCTGTAATCTACGAAACGGCTAGACCAATTTTAACGGGACTTTCACTAGCAGATAGCTAATGTTATAAGGAGTAACTTAGGGTACTTTTATTTTAGAAAAAAAATTAGGGATCTGCGCAAATAAAATAAAACCACATGAAATTGAGAACAAAATCAGCATACCTAGGGAAGCACGCGAGCTAAGCGAGGGTAAGTCGCTAGTAACTTATCAGTATGATTACAATTATGAGTAACAGGAATCAAACCCACAATACATAGTCTTAAGGCATACTAGTTCCTATTCCAATATAAATACCTAGCAATCTCCTTCTCTTTATCCAGCTGGTACCGTCTGCGAGACTCCGCAAACTCCTCAGCAGCTTTGAGCAGCATGTCATGAGTCTCCGGCATGAAACCCTCAATTTCCTCAAGGTCTAAAGCACCTAATTCCGTATCGTCATATTCTGCAAACATCTGTATAGAACGAATATCATATTTATCTATACTAATATTATAAAAAGATAAAGTTTGTAAGTTTGTGACGTTGTAGGGGGTAATGTCTCCCCCCCCAACGTGCGTTCACCTTGTCGTGGTGGGGGGGCTCAGTAGTAGTACTCACGAAGCCAAGAAACGCACAGGGAGGTGGCCCGCTTCGGTGGGCGGTGGGAGGCGGCCTTCTTCGGAGGGTGGTATACCATGTGGGTTGCTCCTGGTACTTCTCTGATAGCAGAGTGGACCGTGGAGCAACCCCATGGTTGTTGTGGTCTGCTTCGGCAGACCTACCGTCGGGGCGTCGTAGTTGAATGCGTAAGCGATCCTGCGACGCCCCATTAAGACGGGGGAAGGTTTTGTTGGGTTTTAGTGGGTAGTACTGGCTTCGCCGGTGAGTCCCACACTTCGTGCGTAACTGCATTTCCCAACGTTAAAAAAAAAAGGGGGTAATGTCTGGATCTACTGAACCGATTTAGATGAAATTTGGTAAGAAGATAGTTTGATGGCCTGGAAAGGATATAGGATACTTTTATCCCGGAAATCCCCCTATAAGGGGGTGAAAATGGGGATGAAAGCGAAAAAGCGAGGTCAGTCGCTAGTTTGTTATATTTCTGTGATGTTTTAAATAATTTTGGTCTCCAGACTAATGAATCCATACTAGTGTAATAATAGTGTAAATGTGAAAGTTTGTGGAGATGGATGGATGAACGGATCTGAATGAAATTTGGCACAGAGATAGATTATAGTCTGGTATAGCACATAGGCTACTTTTTTATCCTGAAAAAATACACGGTTCCCTGGAATAGATTTGTTTTTGTCTAAGGAAGAACTAGAAGCGAAGCGAGGGTGAGTCGCTAGTGTATAATAAATATTAAAGTTGCATAGTTGAGCTTAGAATGTCTTTAAATCAAAATAGCATGCCTAAAACCTGCTTAGTAACTCTTAAAAACACTCGATTAAATCACCTTTCAAACAAAATAAACTAAAATCGGTTCATCCGCTTGGGCGCTACGATGCCACATACAGACACACACGTTTAACCTATAATTCCCCTCTTATTGCTTCGAGGGTTAAAAATAAACGTGTCTGAAGAATATTTTTAAGTTTTGAAAGTTGAAACATGGCATACACGATATTTACTTCTATTTATGTGGAAGGGCAGTCCCTAGCAAGTTCATTACTTGTATAAAGAAACACAAATACAATACCTTTTCAAATCTATTGTCGAGTAAGGACAGTCCCTCATTACGCCGGATCACACTTGACGACATTGAGTACTGAGAGAATCGAGATTTTGCATCATCTTTGTCCCATGTCGGCATTTTAGGTCTTCTTTCCTGGAAAAAAAAAATGAAAATGGCTATTAATTTCTAAATAAATTTTTTTAATAATAATCAAATAATAGACATATGAAAAAGTATTTGGCCTCCTCTTGACATTAAGAGGTGTCCCGTGAAATAGGACGTTAGGAAAGGCTCAAATAATATTATATCTATATCATCATAATCTCTCTGCCCATTTCCCAATGACTTGGGGTCGTCGCAGTACATCATCTGTACTGCTGATAGCATTTGGCGAAAGTTTCACGACCGGCCGCTTGCCTGACGTCAACCCTCCTTGGGAATGCTATTGTTTATCTCTTGTACTATGCACATTCGATATTGTTTTCTTTTAAAACATTTTTTATAGTATTAATAAAAATTTTAATATAATTTTCTGATATAATTTGGAAATAAATTTGTACACACAATAAATTTTGTTTTGACGTTTACATTTTTTTTCTAAAATCTGTATACAAATAAAGTAAATTGTGTATATAATTTTAATTTGTAAGAAATTGAACAAAATGACTGAGCCTAGACCTAGTGTTATGAAAAGAAAGCTGTTTTCTTACTATTACATGGCTAACGCTGGCCAATTCTTTAGAGAGATACATCAAAACGATGACTAGAAAATTGTAGGTCTTAATAAACAAACAAATCTACAATAGCATAAGTCTTTGTCCTAAGGTACACTCGCAATAACTATTCATATCTATTTAAAACTAGTATAAAATAAAACAACAATTTAAATTACCTGTGACCCATCACTATTATCATCAGAGTCTTCATCAGAACCGAATGCTTTATTTGAATCATCATCAGCATATGTACTGTCATCATCGTCTTCATCATCTTCATATTCTTCATCACCTTTATACGAAACGTAAAGGTGATTTAATAAAACAAAAAACAACTATTGTTGCCTTTATTTAAAAAATTATAATTAAGCAAATTAGTTACACATGTAATCTAAAAACTAGCGACTCACCCTCGCTCGCTTCACTCGGGTTCATCCTCATTTTTACCCCCTTAGGGTCTCAAACTATCTTCTCACCAAATTTTATCTAAATCGGTTAAGTAGTTTCGGACCCTATTCAGTACAAAACAAACAAACAAAAAATCAAATCTTTCCTCTTTATATATAGATTAAGAAATATGAATATACTTTGAGAAGACTATTTAAAATTTATTTCTATACATGTAATAAAATTCTAAATGAGTTGAATTTGTACATTAAATAATTTTCAGAAAATCTTATTAAAATAGTCATTATTATCGATACAGAGGCCGAATCTATAGTTTTTCTCTGTCTGTCTGTTTTTCTGGGAACGCATCATGAGAAAACCACTAGGCGCAAAGTCGTCGAGTTGCGGAAACCAGCCCAAACATACCATACCATAGTCATGGGTGTTTATATTTATAATATATATGCATTTTAAGTTATATATGTGTAGTGTATTAACTATCTGGTATCCATAACACAAGCCTCGTAGCTTACCATGGAATTAGATGGTGCTGTGGGATAATGTCCTAACATATTTATTTATTGATATTTATACCATACATACCACAGATAAATACTCTATTGTTTAACAAAAGAATAATACAGAAGGAAAAAAGACAAATAATTAAAACAAAAAGCATGTGAAGGCAGTCTTATTGCTATGAGCAATCTCTTACAGACAACCTTTGGTGAAAGGATAATAAAATCATAAAAAAAATGTAGTGAATGTTAAACGGTATATCAATGTTTTGAATTCAAATTATTATTTACCATCATCAGCCATAGCCAATTCTATAAAGTTGTCTTCTAGTTGATTTTCAGGGTCTTCAAAATCAAAATCCTCATCTAAAGCTGCAACAACTTCCGGGTCCAAATCCAGACATAATCCTGAAAGATGAAATTTGAATTAAGGTATAGTAACATAAAGATTAGTGTTTTACATAATATCATCTATACAACACATGTATAAAATTGAAGTGTCTGTTTGTAATGTCAAAATAACAGCTTTTTATTAAATGCATATATGGTAATAATAAGAAAACACATTTTTTTAATGTCATCTGTCTGTCTGTCTGTTTGTTCCGGCTTATCTCCAAAAGTACTGGACCGATTTTATGTTATAAGAAGTAACTTAGGCTACCATTATTTTAGAAAAAGAATCGGGGTTCCCCACAAAAAATCAAAACCCATGAAAGTGCGAACAAAATAAAATATATTACTACTACTTAACACAAAATATAATTTGACATAATATTCCCAATATACAAGAATCAAATCTCATTTTCAGGAATATGATGAAAAAAATAATAATATAAAAGTAAAATAGGACAACATTCAATAAAAAAATTTTAAAGGAAAAATGTTACCTTGTGATGCAGCTTTGTTCAACAACCCAATATCCTCTTCAATTTCCGAAGCAAAGACTGAACTAGGCAGCTTAATGTTATCTGTGATTTCATTTACAATATCAGTATCTACATCTTCATCTTGAGTAGTTGACTTTTCTTTCCTTTTATGGGTTGTTTTCTATAAAATATATAATAAAAATTGAAAACTAAGGTAATGGCGATACCATTGCATATAATAAAGAAAATAATTAGTCATTTACACATAAGTATTTTAAACAAGGGTTGTACTTAGAAAGAATTTTTATAACAATAACAAGGGGTTAAAATAATTACTTAAGTGAAGAAATACTTTCTTATTATTCTATTAATGCACATAAAACAACAGAAACAATTTCACTGTTTTTTTTTATTTACATATCTATACTAATAATTAATATAATAAAGAGGTAAATTTTGTAAGATTTTGAGTTTGTGATGTTCTAGGGCGTAATCTCTAGATCTACTGAACCGACTTAGATGGAATTAGGTAAGAAGATAGTTTGAGACCCTGGGAAGGATATAGGATTTTTTATCCCGAAAATCATTTCTTAAGGGGGTGAAAATGGGGATGAAAGTTTGTATGGGGAATCAACCTAGGGATGAACCCGAGCGAAACGAGCTAGTTTTATTATAAAGCATATTATTGGAAACTTACAGGCTGTAAAACCATTGTGACTTCTCTAGTATCCTTAAGATGTTGAAGGTAGTTGTAGTCATCGTCAAAGTAAATTCCATATTTATGTTGTTCTTCTCTCCTTTGTTCTGGTGTTAAATCCTTAAAAATATTTAAATTTAAAATATCTTTGTTGAACGAAATATTATGTTATGCATAGGTCAATCATGTTTAGTTTACTTACGGGATCTTTTTGCTTTTTAGAAGGTATATTAGCATTTACAGGTACAAGAACACGTTGTGGAGCACTTTCATCAGCAGCGAGAGGATCTCTTTGGGATCTGTGAACTAGGTTGAACGTCACCGCTTTCTTACGATCTATAAATTTCTTTTTCGTCTTCGGCTGAAAACAAATATTCAGTTGAATACGACACTTTGTTTATTAAGATTTATATTTCCCAAATAAAATAGTTTAGTACCATTTTGGAAGATTTTAACTCAAAAACGGCAGAAAATAATTAATTTATCTCAAAAACATGTGTTGTTTTTGTCACACACAGACTAAAAAGGGGTTTTGAATTTGATGTACTCATACTGTCAATTACAACAGAATATGAATCATGAAAGTCCACTTCATATATTTTTTATTATATAAAAACAAAAATATACAAAACAAAACTTTTGTAAAGATGAAAATGTATATATTAATTTAAAATCGTCTATCGCAGGAAAGGATTTAATTTTAAAAGTATTTTATGTACAAATAGTTACTTGTGATTTTGAATTTACACATTTTTTGACGATTTTTGACATTTGATGTTATGACAAGTCGTCACCTCAGACGTCAGAAAAAAAGAAATCTTCTTTCATAACAATATAACCTAAAAATGCTTTTATCTCGTAATTTTAACATTTTATATTCTAATTATAGAAAAGTAACAACAAAATGGACTTGTATAACGTGTGTCAGATCCAATAGTTCAGCAAAACCAAAAACAAAGGCATACTCTCATACAATATTATTCCCTAAGACCGATTTTCCGGCAAGATCAAATGTCAATAAAGCAGAAATACAAAAAGTAATAGTAAATTTCTATAATAATATTGCAATAAAATTAATAATATTGTGCCTCATGCGTGCCATTAGTAAAATTTTAATTTTACTTCTATTTTAAAATAATTATTAAAATAAACTACTTTTATTTATTTGTAGATTTCACTTATTTGTACATAAATCTATTTTAATAGTTTATATATGTATTATTAAAACATTTTTTAATATAAATCACTTTTAGAATATGGTTGATTAAGATTTTTCATATAAGTAACATGTTGCAATTAATTTTGTACAGCTTTAAAAGATGTTAATTATTATAGTAGATTAGCATTTCCCGTGACTCCGCCAGCGTTCAGATGACCAAAAACCAAATTCTTAGGTTTTACATATTAGTATACTCTTACATTGCAGTTTTTGTATTTTTTCTCAGAAATGAGACATTTTCCCGTAGTAAAAAGTATCCTATATGTTGACCCGGATAATAAGCTATCACCATACCAAATTTCATCAAAATCCCTCCAGTGGTTTTTCTGTGATGTGGTAACAGACAGACCGATAATTTTTTTTAAAACTATACATTCATCCTCTGTATCAATAATAATGTTTCAATAAGATTTTCCAAAAAATATTTAATGTACAGATTTGACTCAGAATTTTATTATATGTATAGATAATACCTAGTAATGTATTATTATTTTTTTCAATAAATATCCATTCATTTTAGAGAGCAAAATTTTCTGAACTGTATAACTGGCAAAGAGAACATTTAATTGGACCAGAATTTGTATTGCATGATGGTCCACCTTATGCAAATGGAGATTTACATATGGGCCATGCTGTAAATAAGGTAAAATGACAAAAATCATTATGTATCATTTAAGTTATATAATAATTTGCTTAATTGGTTTTATTAATCTATGAAGTTTTTATTTTGTTTACTGTTAATAATTATTTCCCTGTAAAACACATATATGAAAGATAGTGTGTCATTTTGTTCAGATAATAAAAGATATTAATAACAGGAGCCAAGTTCTCCAAGGCAACAAAGTTCACTTCATACCAGGATGGGATTGTCACGGCCTTCCCATAGAGTTCAAAGCTTTAAACACAAAAAAAGCTAAGGAATCAAAATCTTCTGACCCAGTCAATATCAGACAAATTGCCAGATCATTTGCTTTAGAGACTGTGAAGAAACAAAAAGAGGCATTTGAAAGTTGGGGTATAATGGCTGATTGGGATAAGCAGTGTTATTTGACGCTAAGAAAAGAATATGTTCAAAACCAACTTAGACAGTTCTACAAAATGTATGAGTTTGGATTAATATATAGAGCTTTGAAACCTGTGTATTGGTCGCCATCTTCAAAGTAAGGGATTATTTTTTGAATATATTTTATTATTTTAAGTTATTTTTATTTATTTAAAGAAACTTGTGTTCGTCCTGTGGTTTAACTTTGAACATCCATTATTAAAAATTGAATGAAATGAAAACACATTATATGAATAGGTATTAAGTACCTTTTTATATAAAAAACTAACTGCTTTCAAAAATTGCTTGATGACAAACAGAAGAAAAAAAGGTATAGATCTGTTTTGTCTTTGCCTATTTATATTTAGATGCTATTATATTAAGGAAACATTGAAACATTTTATTTTAAGAATTATAATACATCCTGTCACTTTAATTTATTTCATTAATAGCAATTCACTATCGCTTTGCTTGGCTTAGTCCCTAGGTATGTTTTAATGGTTAGCATAGAATAGATAGACTACATATGTGTTATATAATATATAGCCTATAGCCTTCCTCAAAAACCGGCTATCTAATGCGCAAATAATTTTTCAGATCGGATTAGTAGTTCCTGATATTAGCGTTTTCAAACAAACAAACTCTGCCTCTTTATAATGTTAGTATAGATAAGTTTTCACATAGGAATTAACATATATTTTCTTTTATTTCAGAACAGCTTTAGCTGAAGCAGAATTGGAGTATGATCCTCAATTTAAAAGTAAAGAAGTGTATGTCAAGTTCCCAATGGATACATTGCCAGAGGCTGTAAAAAGTGTTGCTACAGGGTGAGTGTGAGGTGAGCCGTGAGGGCTAGGGTCTGACTGAAAGGAGTTTTTACGCAAATGAAGGTCTCATACCTTCATTTTTCAATATTCGACATTTTTAATAATACTATGTTTTCGGATTTTGTTGGGAGTTATTTTGGAATCATAAACTTTTTTTTTTATATACCGATAAATAAAGTGTCTGTTTGTAATATTAAAATGACAGCTATTTACTAAATGCATATGAAATTATATACGGTACTTAAAAGAAAAACATAATTTTAAAATTTTTTGTCTGGCTGTCTGTGTGTTTGTTCTGGCTAATCTCCGAAACGGTTGGACTAATTTTGACGAGATTTCACTGTCAGATAGCTGATGTTATAAGGAGTATCTTAGGATAGTTTAAACTAGAATAAGAATTAGGGTTCCATTAAAAAAAAAATTAAAATATATCTAGAGACGTCGACCGAGTAATTCATTAGTATATAATATAGACAAAAAATATTCTTGATATATGTTTTTAGAAAGCAAATATCGGCAATAATATGGACAACCACACCCTGGACGTTAGTAGCTAATAAAGCAATAGCATACAGCTCTAATATGATATACACTGTAGTCACAATGAGTACGAGACCTGATGAAATGTTTCTGATTGCAAAAGACCAGATTGAAGATTTGGAAAAGGTTCTTGGATGTGAGATTCGGGTCTTGCTGGAGTTTGATGGTATGTTGAACAGTTATCTTTTCGTAATTTTTTTTATAAATAAATAAGGTAATATAATAAGGTATTACATACAAATATACAATTGACAATACTTTTGGTTTGAAGTGACCTTGACCGGTGGAAGCGGTCACGGTCATTAAACGGACTGAAATAACGCACATAAAATCTGACATTTCTTCTTAATAGGGATGGGGTTTAAGAGTTGGTCGAGCAAATAATAATCATAGTCTATCTTGGCGACATGTTTGGCTCAGTTTGTAGTGACCTTACTTGCTGTGCCAGCGGTCGCGGGTTCGAGTCCCGCTGGGGACATTCGTGTGATGAGCAAGGATCCTTGTACTCTAGTCATGGGTGCTTATATTTATAATATGTATGTATTTAAAGTAATTTATGTGTAGTGTGTATCAATTATCTGATATCCATAACACAAGCCTCTTAGCTTACCATGGAAATAGATTGTGTTGTGTTTAATGTCCCAACATATTTATTTATCGAAGTTATACTTCTTTTGGCACGTTTGGAAATAATTATGAGGGTAAAATTTTTACAATGCGCGCGCACACCGACAGCCAAAAAGCGACATCATGAAGTTAGTTGCATTCCTTTTACAAACAGAGAGTTGTGACATACGGGATGAAATCTAGCTATTTTTGTTCTGTTACACCAAAGAAGTATAACTTCTTACGTGCGTACGTAATTACACACACACAGGTATATGATATTTATTATTATATTCTGACTCTCACCAGGCAAACATCTATCAGGCAGTACATACACAAATGGTCTAACAAACGAGACACTACCGTTCCTATCCGCCGACCACGTGACCGCCGGCAAGGGCACAGGGCTAGTGCACACTGCGCCCGCGCACGGCCCTGACGATTTTGTTGTTAGTTTGAAGAATAATATCACCGTGGTGTGTAAATACTACCGATTTAATACTTTCTTAGATTTACGCGAATCCGCGTTTATAATATTTATATTTTCTATATTTATATTTTATATCATATTATAACCGAACTCTAAAAATCATTCTAAGAAGTGTATTTAAAATATCTATTTATCGAATTCATTTGTATGTTAGGGTTATTTTATTAAATTTGAACCAGTTTCATGAGTAAAATTTTTAATTATATCAATATTTATAGTTTAGGTGCGTTTTAATTCTTTTAAATGGAACCCTAATTCTTTTCCTAAAATAAAAGTAGCCTAAGATACTCCTTATAACATCAGCTATCTGTCTGTGTAAGTTCCATCAAAATCAGTCCAACCATTTTGGAGATTAGCCGGAACAAACAGATAGACAAAAAAATTAAAAATTGTATTTTTTATAATTACCATATATAATTGCATGTGTATTTAGCAATAAAACTGTTATTTTGACATTACAAAACACTTCAATTTTATTTATCTGTATAGATAACTCTAATCTGTATTTCCTTATAACATGGACACTGAACAGACAGACAGACATACAGAATTTCATTTACTCAATTTTCGTTTATGCAATAGGAATGCAATGTAGACGAGCAGGGTTGTTATACAAACCTTGGACCAGATCTGGACGGCCTCCCAGTTTTATCTGAAGGTCAGGAGGTGGTCATGAAGAAACTTCAAAACTCTATACTTCACCAAGGGACGTACATACACTCGTATCCTTTAGATTGGAGAACTAAGAAACCTGTTATTATTAGAGCAAGTCATCAATGGTTTATTGATACGTCGGCTTTGAAAGAGAAAGCTTTGGTAAGTATTATAATCATTATAGTCTTTATATAATGCTCTCTTAGATTTACGCTAAAGTTGGACATTTTAAATAACACGGTATCTATATAACTATTAAAAAACAATCGTTTAATTTAAAAATATATTGTGATTTTTTTTATTTTACATAATTGGTACTTTTTTTAGATTTATTCGAATATTTTTTTAATGTTTTCGGTTTTTTCTTTGATTTTTGTTTCAGATCTTTTGTCCTCGACACGTCAATTGATTTTTACAATCTAAAAAAATCCGTCACAAACATGTATTAGCTGTACATTTTGTTTTTCAATTTTGAAATATCAGTACTAACCTAAAAGGTATGATTTAAGTTTTTTTGGCGTATTTTTTTAGTTAGCAAAAATCTAATGACGTTTCGAGGACAAAAGTTCTGAAACATTTAATTTAATCAAAACTTTTCATTAGTAACAAAAAAAATTTTTTTATAATTTATTTTTTTAATCTAACAGGCAGCATTAGACAAAGTGTCAATACTTCCACCCTCCACATCAGAGCAGTCGCGCCAAGGCTTCAGAGCTCAGTTAGAGAAGCGGCCATATTGGTGTATATCCCGTCAGAGGGCGTGGGGGGTGCCCATACCTGTGCTGTATCAGGGCAATAATGTTATTGTTGATGAGTAAGAATTTTAATGTTTGAAGCATTGATACTAATAAATAATTTCTAATTACAGGATGTTAGACCCAGGGCTGCCAGTAGAGCCAACTTATTTTATAGCGGTATAAAATAAGTTAAGGCTTACTCAAATTATACCAAAATCAAATTTTAGTATACAAATTAACAAAACTGTTGAGAAATAGTCTGTGACGAATAAAAAAATTCTATAAAAATACGTAATAACTTAAAATGAAATATACATAAAATAACCATATTCTACAATATTCTTATCCAATTATACGATCTGGCAGCCCTGGTAAGACTTCCCAATGTCGGGCTACTGAAATTTTTTGGTCAGAAAAACTCAATAACTTCCTAGCTTAACTTGGGACTCGAACTCAGGTCTTCCGGATATACAGTTGTATTTACAACTATATCCGCTAGCCATTAGACCACAGAGTGGTAAATTATCCGGCTTAAGTCATAACACTGCATGTTGTTAATAATATATCAAAAACTTATTATTTATGCATTTTTCTTTTTAGACCTATAGAAGATGAATTTTCAGAAATATTTTGTACTGTAGGATTTTATTACCTGCCAAATTTCAAGTTTGCATCATTTTTATGTTCCGAGATTCCATGATTAATCCCTATTATTACGATTTACGGTTTGATTTTCATTAAAAGTATCAATAATTATATAGTATATTTTGTTTTATCTAAGCTAAATATAGTTTTTACTGAAAAAGTGTTTTGACTGTAATAAATATTCATAAGTTTTTTTATTTTTATTTTAGGGCTATTGTAGAGCATATTTGTTCTCTGATGGAAGAACATGGTACAGACATTTGGTGGACTTCCGATGTAAACCAGTTGATTCCTAAGGATGTTGCGAGTAAATACGGCTTAGAAAAAGGAGAAGTGGCTAAAGGAAATGTATGTTTTATACAATTATTGTTTTTAATTTATATATATATATATATATATATACATACAATGTATTCGGGCCTTTCTTTTGCAATGTCCCACTGCTGGGCACGGGTCTCCCTTCAATACGAGGGGGATCAGGCCATAGTCCACCACGCTGGCTAAGTGCGGGCGGACTGAGCATGTCTTTCGAAAACTTGCTAGGTACCCTCAGACATTCAGGTTTCCTCCTTCCAGTCCTATAAATAATGGACCATCAATTTATTTTTAGGATATAATGGATATTTGGCTAGATTCAGGTCTCTCGTGGCAGACATTGGGAGGCAGGAAAGCCAGTTTATATTCGGAGGGTATCGACCAATTGACTGGATGGTTTCAAGCGTCGTTACTTACTTCCCTCGCTTTGAAGGGAGATGCGCCTTATGAGTAAGATATATGTACATATATTAACTAATAACTTACCATAGCTTACCTTTTAAGCAGTTACATCATACCAAATTTAATCAAAATCTGTCCAGTGGTTTTCTCGTGATGCGGTCTCAGATACATAGACAAAAATTCTAAAAACTAGAGATTCGGCCTCAGTATCGATAATTATATCTATTTCAATAAGATTTTCCAAATAATATTTAATGTACAGATTCGACTCAGAATTTTATTATATGTATAGTTTTCATTCAAATCAGTTCATCCGTTTTTGGGTGAAGGTACTCGTATAACAAACTTACAAAAAGCTTTTTAATTTATAATAATACTCCGATTGTTAAAAGCTAGGGTTTGGAGATATAATATGGTTTTTTAATGTTTTTATTAACACAAGAGTGATTTTTAGCAATTCACATACACTACACACAGTGCTGGCTTAATTCTGTCATTGAGCACTATTTTCAATAACTAATTTTAGTTGAACTAATACTCCACCTTACTTCATTTTTCCTTTAGCGGTATTATCTATCTATACTTATTATAAAAATAAGTCCCCCGGCCGCGTCTTTCTGTCCTCCTGTCTGTCCTCCTGTCTGTCTGTACGCGATAAACTCGAAAACTACTGAACGGATTTTTATACGGTTTTCAACAATAGAAAGAGTAATTCTTGAGGAAGGTTTAGGTATATAATTTATTATGCTTTTATGTAAATTAGCTGAAATACGGCGACAAATGTTGAAGAGGTCGCAAAAAATCTCGCCAAATGGGAACTTTCCACGCGAACGCCGCGTAAACTAGCAAAGATACAGTTAAGTAATGTACTAGAGAATTCAAAATCTATAAAAATGCTACAAAAAAGTCCGCGATAGCATATCTCTATCTCTTACGGTTGACTTACAATAACCACTTTTATGTTAACATTTTTAATTAAAAACATTACGTTATTTTCAAAGTTTTTTTCTTTAGTTCGGTATTAATCCTTATCCAAATGAATATTTTAGTTAGCTTAGTCATTTAATGCAGATTAAAATTGCTCTTTACACTAAATCAATCAGATGAATAGTTTTTGAGATATCGTTGTTAGAAGTAATTAGTAGCGAAACATTTTTAATGCTTGGCGAGCATTGAGATGCCTACGGCGAGTCCATCCCCTCTGCCCCGCATCGCTCGACCGCCTGCTCAAGCTATATAAACCGGGCGATGTAGCGCGCGATCCTAGGATACTTTTTACCGCGGGAAAATATCTTATTTCTGAGGAAAAATACAAAAACTGCAATGTAAGAGTATACTAATATGTAACACCTAAGAATTTAGTTTTTGGTCATCTGAACGCGGGCGGAGCCGCGGGCAATGCTAGTAGAATATAGATGTAAGTGCTCTCTTTAATTTTTTATTCTCAAAACTCCGATGGGACGATAATTCGATACTCGCGGTGAGAGATCCGTCGCAGACTGAGACTTTCTTATGAGAAACAGCCAATAACTATATTTGGCCCGATTCGGGACTCGAACCCATTATACTAGCCGTTAGACCACCGACGAAATTTATTATAATAACTTCTTATATTGCTTTTAGGTCCATTTTTGTCCATGGTTTCGTAGTGGATGAGAAAAAACGTAAGATGTCCAAATCCATAGGCAATGTTATAGACCCCGCGTCTATTATACATGGTGATAAGAAACAAGCCGCTTATGGGGTTGATACGTTGAGGTAAAAACCTTATATTTTTGTTACGTTTTTTGCATCGATCAAAAATATACTAGATACACAATCCCATGCAATAGTCCTCTTAAAACTGTCACCATTTGTGTTTAGATAACTATTCTAGTTAAAATAAATATACAACAATGTAAATTGAACTTTAAATGCAAGTACCTTTTTGATCGATGGTTTTTGGTCTTCTTTTTGGGGGTAGTTTAAATGTTTTTGAGATGTAATCTTTGTAAGGTAGTGTTTCTAAATTCAGATTTTGACTTATAATATTTTTCTTAAGTAAATTTCTTTCGTTCAATAAAAATGCGATGTGATTCAAATGTACGCATAGATACGATAAATATTTCTTATCGTGGAATATTTACTTTTAAAAAATATGGTTAAATATTCATATTATTAACTCAAATTATATAGAAAGATAACAAACAATTAAATACAAATTGATAATTTTAGATGGTGGGCAGCCAGCCATGCGACCCAACATTCTCAAATAGTAATAAGCAAGAAGCTTCTAGAAGATTGCCAGAACGAAGTCATTAGAATACGAAACATCATCAAATATCTTCTCGGAGTCATAAATGACTTGCAAAAACCCGACTTCGACCACAAACCCGACTTAAATTACTTCGATCAATACATAGTAAATGAATGTCATACGTTTTTAGACCAAATTAAAGACCATTATAATAACTTTAGATATAATCACGTAGCTCAAAGTATATTGTTTTTTATAAGTAATAAAATTTCTGGGTTATATTGTCATTCCATAAAAGATAGGTTATATTGTTCCCCGAAAGATTCAAATGAACGTATTACCGCTCAACTCGCAATTCATACAATTTTGATCTCTATCTCTAAAGCTATAGGTCCCATTTTACCGCATTTAATAGAAGAAGCCTGGCAATACCATCCTTTGTATGAAAAACCGTTTTATTTCACTCAAAACTTTTCAATTTTACCCCAAAATGACATTGACGGTTCATTGATGGACGCCATTTTGAATATCAAAAGAGATGTATGTGTTGTTGCGAAGAATGAAAATATAAAGAAATTCGAATTAAATTTAAAAGTTAATTCTAATTTGTTTTCGGAATTAAATAAATTGAATATTTTTGACGGTGTTAATGATAGTGTTTTGTGTGAAATTTTAGAAGTGTCAGCTGTCAATTTGTTTGAAAATGGTGGGAAATTGGAAATTGAATTGATACAGAGTAAAAAAGAACAATGCTTGAGGTGTAGGAAGTACAACGCAATAGAAAATAGCGATAAATGCTTAAGATGTGAGAAAGCAGTTAGTTTGTTGTAAATATATTATGTTATATATGTATAATGTATAACTTACATTTCCTTTTAAATGTAATGAAGCATTTAAAAAAAAATAATTATGGAGGGTAGAGGTAATATGAAGTGTCTGTAAGCGGTAAAAAATAGTTCAAAAACCCACCCGAATGGCGCTAGCGTAGCAAAAGGGTATGAATAAAAATGAAATGAATTTAGCAATTGTAAACGGAGTGAAGTTTGCCGAGTTTTAAAATTTAATATTTTGGACGTGACTTGAGTAGTTATTTAAACTATTTGAAGTCTAAAATATTTATTTGTAAATATAACTGAACAAAACTGTGGTAATATAAACGTAGAGTGTGATTTATTTTTTGTGAACTCCGTATCCGTATTAATGTTATAAATATGAAAGTTTGTGAGTATGGATGTTTGTTACTCTTTCACGCCAGAACAGCTGAACGGATCTGGATGAATTCTGGCACAGAGATAGATTATTATCTGGAATAAACACATAGGCTTCTTTTTATTCCAAAAACTGTACGGTTCCCATGGGATAGGCTTGTTTTTGTTTTCCTAGAGGCGAACCCGAGCGAAGCAAGGGTTATCCACTAGTTTAATAATACTTTTGGCGCTTTCTTCAAAATATACTCACTTGCTACCGTGGCGCTACCTTAATTTAATGCATTTTGTCGGACACTTTTTCATCACAGAGAGAGATAGTTCTATCGCCCATAAAATTAATGTGTTTCTTTGTAATTAAAAGTTCATCTTATTAAGTTTAATATTTATATAATTTATAAAGGAAGTATTTCAACGTTATATAAAAAATAGTGTTAAAACTGTCTTTTTTTTTAAATTCCTTCTTTAGTTCAGGATTCATGTATTTTCTTCAAGATATAGTCACCTAGTAAACGACAAAGTCGTTCAATAAAAAATAGTTTTACTTAGATTTTTATTTCAATAAATCTATCCATATCATATCAAATGAGGAAGAAAAGTTTTAGATAAATGTCACATTTTTCGTTTCCAGTAGGCTAAAATAATGTATCAGGCATCGGCTAGTCATAGCGCTGAATCAAAAACTACTGGATCAAACTATGTTAAATTTTTATGGAACCAAATGGCAACTATTTCGCATCAAACTAAAGAAGATTCACGTAAATCTATCATCATCATCATCATCATGTTCAGCCTGTTTTCGTCCACTGCTGGACATAGGCCTCTCCTATGGCACGCCACTGAGCTCGATCTTCAGCTCTACGCATCCAACCGCTGCCAGCCAGTTTACGTATGTCGTCGCTCCACCTAGCTGGAGGGCGTCCTACACTACGTTTGCCGAGCCGTGGTCTCCACTCTAGAACCCGTCTACTCCAACGGTCATCGGTTCTGCGACATATGTGACCAGCCCACTGCCACTTCAACTTGCTAATTCTTTGGGCTATGTCGATGACTCTGGTTCTCTGTCGGATCTCTTCATTTCGAATCCGATCCTTCAGAGAAACTCCGAGCATAGCCCTCTCCATAGCACGCTGAGCGACCTTAAATTGGTGGACTAATCGCACCGTCAGTGTCCACGTCTCGGCTCCGTATGTCATAACAGGTAGGACGCACTCATTAAAGACCTTTGTCTTTAAGCTTTGTGGTATTGGCGACGAAAAGACCCGACGAAGTTTATTGAATGCTGCCCATCCCAGCTGTATTCTTCTTTGAGCTTCTTTCTCGAAGTAGTTTTTACTGACTTGCAGTAATTGCCCAAGGTAGATGTAGTCTTGTACTACTTCGAGAGTTGTTCCATTGAGAGCAATCGGTCCCGGTGTTACATGTGTATTGAACATGACCTTGGTTTTGTCCAAATTCATCCGGAGACCGATGTGTTTTGAAGAATCAGCTAGGCTTTGCAGCATGTGTTGCAGGTCTTCCACGGTTTCAGCCATGATGACGATGTCGTCTGCAAATCTCAAGTGCGAAATGTACTCACCGTTTATGTTTATTCCACGTCCTTTCCAGTCCAGACTCTTAAACATATCCTCCAGTGCAGTTGTGAACAATTTGGGGGAAATTACGTCCCCTTGTCTCACTCCTCGATGCAGGAAGATAGGTTCAGACTGCTGGTTCTGGACTTGGACGGACATTGTTGCGGCGTCATACAGACATTTCAACACTTGAATATATCGCCAATCGACTTGGCACCGTTGCAAAGACTCTAAAACAGACCAGGTTTCGATAGTGTCAAAGGCTTTCTCATAGTCTACAAATGCTAGACACAAGGGCTCATTATACTCTTCTTGCTTCTGTATAATCTGCCGCACTGTGTGAATGTGATCTATGGTGCCGTATCCACTTCGAAAACCAGCCTGTTCAGAGGGTTGGAAATCGTCGAGTCTACGCGTGAGACGATTCGTGATAACTCTAGAAAACAACTTATAGATATGGCTTAAGAGAGAGATAGGTCGATAGTTTTTCAGCAGGGTTTTGTCACCCTTTTTGAAGAACAAGACGACCAAACTCGTGCTCCATGCCTTAGGAGTTCTCCCCGAAAAGAGGACGGAATTAAATAAGCGCTGGAGTTGCTTTAGCGCAGGAGTTCCACCTGCTTTTAGGAGCTCCGTTGTAATTCCATCCTCCCCGGGGGCTTTTCCATTTTTAAGTTGTTTTAGAGCCAACACGATTTCGTCTAGGCTGACTTCTGGCAGGTCTTCTGTGTAGTGGCGGGTAAGCGTGGCTCTGGGATCTTCGTTATTAGACGTGGGACGGGGCGCTTGCGATGTATATAGGCGACCATAGAAGTCCTGAACTTCTTTCAGAATCTCCGGCTTAGAGACGACGACTTTTCCGCTAGTTGTGGTCAGCTTCGTCAGATGGCTACGTCCCAGCTTCTGAACAAAGACTTTGGACCCCCGATTTTTCTCAATAGCTTCCTTGATGGAGCATGTATTGGAGTTTCGGAGGTCACGTCTTACCAGCTTCGATATTCTTTTGTTCAAAGCTCGCTGGTTTGACGGAGTAACTGCGGTATCTTCACGTCGCTTCTTCATTAGCTGCAGAGATTCCTCAGAGAGTTTGGACTTCTTACCGGTGCGTTGCATCTTGCAGATCTTAGTCCCTTCTTCCCGGAGAATACCCACTACTTGGTCGAGGTCTTGGTCAATGTCAACGTCTATTGTGGTTTCCAGGGCAGCGAATCGGTTCTCCAGTTTTAGCTGGAACGTTTCAGACCCAGCAGGGATTTGAAGCATATTGGGCCGGAGCGTAGACTTTATCAAACGATCCCGTTCAAGCTTGTAATCAATACCTAGAGTGCCTCGGACGAGTCGGTGATCGCTTCCGGTGTTGAACCTATTGATCACGGAGACATCTCTAAATATGCGCTTCTTGTCCGTCATAATAAAGTCTATCTCATTTTTTGTCATAGAATCGGGGCTTCGCCAGGTCCACTTTCGGTGGGTCTGTTTCTTAAAGAAGGAATTCATCAAGAACAACCCCTCTTTTTCCAGAAAGTTGACAAGCATTTGCCCCCTATGATTTCTGCTACCAAATCCATGTGGCCCTACTACCGATTCACCGCTTGTTTGTACTCCCACTTTCGCGTTGAGGTCCCCCATGACAACATTAAAGTGGGCCTTATAGGTGGTATGTAAGGCTTTTGAGATATCTTCGTACATCTCTTCCACTTCGTCATCCGAGTGTGTCCAGGTCGGCGCGTACACTTGGATAACCTTGAGGCTATACCTCTCGGTTAGCTTGATCACAAGGTATGCTACCCTTGGTGATACACTGGAGATTTCTATAACGTTGCCAGATAGACCCTTGTGAATTAAGAACCCGACACCGCCTTGGGATGGTTGGTCGCCCTCTCTAAAATACATAAGATGGCCCGATTCTAAAGTTACGGTGTCCTCTCCCTTTCTTCGAACTTCACATAACCCCAGGATGTGCCACCTTATGTTTTTTAGTTCTTCCTCTAATTGTGCCAGATGTTCGTCGAGCCGTAGCGTGCGTCCATTAAACGTAGCCAGCGTCAGTCGTTGTTGGCGGCCTACCGTAGCCCGGGGATTCTTAGCACCCCCTACCCCGCCGTTACCATGGCCGCCGCCTTGGCCAGGAATAGCGAGGCGACCGGGAACTAGGGGCCGTTTCGTTCGTAAGCTTGCCATAGATTGTTATGCCCATAATCGCCACGCTGGGCAGGCGGGTTGGCGATCGCAGGGCGTAGCTTCTTGTACCGGTGACGCTGCTGCCCGTCACAGGTCCATGGCATTTAACTACGCTGTTTTCCAGAGGTTATACCGCCATCTATTCGGTCGTCAGAGCCTCGTTCGTTGTTTAGCAGGATGCACCGCGTGCAGGTGAGGTTGACTTGGAGTACTGAGGTGGAATTTGTACTCCCTTACATCCCCGTAAATCTATACATATAATAAAATTGTAACTAAGCCGAATCTGTACATTAAATATTTTTTTGGAAAATCTTATTGAAATAGACATTATTATCGATACAGAGGCCGAATCTTTCGTTTTTAGAATTTTTGTCTGTCTGTCTGTTACCGCGTCACGGAAAAACCACTGGAGGGATTTTGATGAAATTTCGTATGATGATAGCTGGTTATCCGGGTCAACATATAGGATACTTTTTACCGCGGGGAAATATCTCATTTCTGAGAAAAAATACAAAAACTACGATGTAAGAGTATACTAATATGTAAAACCTAAGAATTTGGTTTTTGGCCATCTGAACGCGGGCGGAGCCGCGGGCAATTCTAGTCTGATCATAAATCTCAACGTAATCGGTGTACATACATAAAAAAATACCAATCGAATTGAGAACCTCCTCCTTTTTGAAGTCGGTTAAAATAAAAATATAAGTATCTACAAAATTCTTCAGAATGATTTCGGTCATGGCAGCCATCAGTCGAATGGTGTAACAGTTGATAATTTGTTCTAGTTCATTAAAACAATTTACAAAAATGATAAAGTGAACTAAAAATATGAGAACAAGTTGACGAACGGACATAGTATTAGGTATGC